ATGAGGTCAAATCATTCAAGCATCACTGGCGTTAGCTCAGTGGCGTTAGCTAATCTGGGGTCTGCAGGTAGCGTTAATAATGCCAAGGACGTGGCGTAGTGAGTGGCTTTAACAACACCACTGCCTAGTTCACACACAAAGGCGTACGCTACGCCAGGCTTAAGCCAGCCTTACGCCGTGTGTGTGAACATAGCCTTAGTTAAGTTATTTCGTACACTATAGGAAATAGATGCCTTCGGAGCCATTGTTTCCTTCAAAACTTGTCTTCAGCCCTGCCGGCTTCAGGTTATTTTTTTCAGAAAATAATGGCTCCTTCGGCTTCTATTTCCTATAGAGTACACAAAACATGACTATAATTGCATAATAATCCTGTTTGTTATACTGTAGTATGTTTTTATGTGTTTGACCGGTATATTGAATTTTGTGAATATATTTTTTGCAGAGTATTCTGAAAAAAGCACGCAAGGACGCTACAAAGGCAGTTTTCCTGATAACAGACGGATACTCCAATGGGGGTGACCCACGTTCAATTGCTAAAAAGTTACGAGCTGATGATGTTGAGATCTTTACTTTTGGTATTTCAAATGGCAATGTGCGTGAATTGTATGAAATGTCTTCGCTACCTAAACACGAACATTGTTACATATTAGAAGACTTTCAAGAATTTGAATCATTGGCACGGAGGGCGTTGTATGAAGGTAATTTTATTTGAAGAGCTAAGCATTAGGCTAAGTAATAAGGTTTTAGATTCCTACGCATATCCTGGATCAAGGCCTGGGTCTGATTGCTCAGCTCCTTCAATGCAACTCCCTCACAGAATTATACAGGGTCACCTGGAGTGCAGCCAAAATTAAAATTTTCAATTTCTAAGAGATGAGAAAGAAAATTGTTTTTCTACAATATATCTTCTCATCGATGTAACTTTTTTTCTGTTGATGGTTTTTGTTCTTTCTCTCGCTTCATCTTATTTGCTTTGTTTAATCATAGAGAAATTAGAACTGTTCTAATTTCTCTATGGTTTGATTCAACTTCTATTGGGCATGTTTTGAAAGCGCATAGAGACCTAGTATTATGTGCTATACAAGCCTACTGTACAACCAGTGGCGCATCTAGGAATTGGAAATAGAGGGTGGCCAGGAAGAGACTTGCACTGATGGATAGTCAGACCCCATCAGCCCCAACCATCGATGGGGCTGAGGTAAGAAAATTTATAATTGGCCTACTAGATGGCCGGAAATGGCACTTTCTGACCTAAATTTGATTAACATTTTCCTTTTTCTCTGTTATATTTAATAATTTTGAACAATTTAGGAGACACCTAGGCCAACTCACCCCAGAATCTGCCACTGACAACCATTACCATATCACATCACTGAGCACCAAACAATGAATATTTATTTAAGCTATGTTTGCATTGAATTGTTTGGGTTATGCACCTGCATTCTGAGTTGAACCAAAATAGATCCAATGTAAACACCCTCAGAAAAATTATTCTTGGTAAGTTTGCCAAATAGCAGTTAGTTTAGAAGTCCTGTGCTCAATTTAATTCAATTCAATTTTAATGGACTTCACTTTTACAACAGTGGCACATATAAACAGCTTTGTGGTGAGTCCAAAATACTAAACATAAAATTTAACAAAAAAAAAAAGACTTACAAGAGAATGTTATGCAGTATAATTTTAAACAAATCTTTAAAAAATTAGTAATTAATACAGTACAGTAAAAGATAGTTTGAAATCAATTTTGAGCAAACAGATTTAACTAAAAGCAAGCAAATATAAATCACAATGCATGTTCAAATGCAAATTTATGAACATGTCTTACAATTGGGGTTGGTAGGATCTCCCAAAGAGTGCAACATATATTAGGGCGCTTTCGAATGCACGACGACGGTAGCATGTAGAAGGAAGTCACATAAAGTCATCTGCCCATGCGAGAACATTGAATTTTAGAACCAATGGAGATAAGAAATTTCTTAGTCACCTCAGTTACATTTACTGCATATTTTTAGCTTAGCAGATAAAGTCAAATGAGGAACATCTACATCCAGCATCAAGTTTCATTATTTAATAACGCTTCTGGCACATACAGCAACATTGAAAAAAGTCATTCACTTAATACATAGTACAGTAAAATATAACTACTCTATGGATGTTCCAACTACAACAGCCGGTTAAAAAAATACTGTAGTTAGGCCTATCTATAAAACCTAAACATTATAGTTAATTACATGCACTATTAGAATACCTAATAAAACAGTGGCAATCCCCTGCATATTTTGTGTGATACATTCATTGACCTAGGCAGGACCTAGGCGTCATTGCAATCATCACTATCCTAATTCAGCCATACCTCTTGTTTATTAGTATATCACTTCAAAGTCTGGTATCAATCAAGCCCAACATATCCTCCTGCTAAGTACTTGCGTTAAAGGGACATTTGACTCTGACGATTTCAAATATGCAGTGATGTCTTTTTATAAATGCTTTAAAGGCCGTTACGATTAGTCCCAATACAACAGTACCTGATAAAACATTCAATACAAATTATAAACTGTAATTTGTTTTTTTATTTAACAATTAAAGACAGTCTAATGAAAATTGTTAAATCAGACTATTTTGGCGTATGGTGCATCATTTCCTTTAATATCTTAATCATTATATCATTATATTTAAAAGGTTTGTACCTGTAATCAAGGAGTTATGCTGTAATTAAATAATATAGAAAATAACGACAAATTATTTTCTGATAATTGCATACATGTATTTACTCTCAATTGTCAGGCGAGGAGGTACTCTGTTTTGGAGGACCTTGTCGTGGAGCCCTCATTCAGGCCCTGATGGGACGTACCATGTAAATCTAACAGATTTAAAAGTTTATATTGTATCTATTTTGTATAATTATATCAATAGCTTACAACTGAACATGTGAATGAGAAGGAAAGAATCCTTGCTGTTTAACTGATGTTAAAATAATACCAGTTCTATAGTCTTGGTATTGACATTTTTATTGGCTGACAGCCAATTTGGGGATTTTCGTAGTAAAACGTCTGCAAGCCATTGAAAACTTTTTTTATCAGTGTTTTTAGTAACATATGTGATTTTTAAAATGAGTAAATTTCCAAATTGTATTGCATATTTACAAAATATTTCTTGAACTAATTATGTTACCTTAAAAAAACGTAAATCACATCACCTCATAGCTCTGAGGATAGCAAACAACTAGTAATTGGAGGATCTTGGTATTGATTCTTATTCAGGTATATTTTACTCAACAATAAAAACAGATGGCAGCATTCGCTGAAATCTCCATGTATATTAAAACATATTTTAAAACAATCAATCAGCAAATGGTAAAATACCTACAAATATGAAAAAAAAGAGAAGAAAAAAATGACATACAAAAGATATTTACAATCATGTTTTCTTTATTTTTTTGTTTTTGTTTTTTTCCATTTTTTAACCTTGGTGGGTGGGGGGGAAACAAAAACAACCAGGCCTACTATCCAGCATTATTACAAACTCAAACGAACTATATTTTACTTAGAATTGTTAATGTTATTAATAATTTTTGAGATGGCGGAGCTTTTCCATTGATGTGTTCTACACTCAAAGGAGAATCAAGTAAACTGCTATCTCTTGATAGATTATTCTTTGATAGAGAATGTATATATTTTCTCAAATGTTATTTATTATCCAAAGGAAAAAAGTTTATATTTTTACTTTATTTATTTAGCATCCATTCAAGTACTAAAAAAAATTCTATTTTTATATTATTTATCATCATTATTGAATAATTTTTTGGAATTATATTATAATTTATTAATTTCAGACCTTATGACTGGGGATTATATTATGGTGAACAGTAGGAAATGTAGGAATTGTAAAGATCGAGTAAATTGTTGTGACCCTCTAGCCACATGCAAATGTGGCACCCTGAGTGGTCAGTATGAGTGCATTTGTCCTGCTGGGTTTTTTGGAACTGGACTAAAGGGAGGATGTCAAGGTATGCACTGTATTTGATTATGTTTTATATGATTTTTTTTTCTATTACAGAAATAAAATCAAACTACCTTAACATGTATATTAATCATAGTATTAATATTTAGGTTTTGTTTTCAAGTTTAAAATTTTAATGTCACCTTGCTGTTTTTGAGCTTAGGTTTGTATATAATTTATATTAACTATCATCTCATTTTTGGGGTAGGTGGTGGGGGTGGGATGTTGGCCATCATAAGGCAGTATATAAAATAATATTAGTCTACTAATTTATAATAATTTTTCACATTATCATTTTTAAATTAAAAATAATAAAAGAAAGTATTTAAAAAAATAATAACATTCTTGGCATTGTGTAGAATAATTAATTTAAGTAGCTTAACATAAAAAATAACTAGAGTACCTGTATTTTGATATTACTGTAGCTTGTCCATCAAACACCTACAAGAGTGAGCCCTCGCCTGGCGGTATTGGTACGTGTATACCGTGTCCTCAGCCTTATCGTTCAAGCCCTGCAGGAAGTACTGCACTGTCAGATTGCAAATGCGATGAGGGTTTCACAGAGAAGCATGGAAGATGTGTTGGTAAGCTATCTACTGTATGTTCTAATGTTCTAGATCAATTTTTGCCATCGAAAGATTGGGAACATTTACCAAGCCAGAGGAAAAGGGATGTGCCACATGCAAGAGTAGGAAAAATTGCTTATACTAAAGGGGAAGAGACATACTCTCCCATTTATGAAAGGAAGGGATGCGTCTTATGTATGGAGGGAAAAATCCCTGTGACAAAGGGAAGGGACAAGAGTCATGTAGGGAAGGGGATAACCCCATGTATGTATCCCCAGGGGAAGAAATGTAATTGAGTAAAGAAAAAAAAATATTAATAAAAGAATATTTTTATTTTGGTCAGTGACACGTTATTTTGACTTTTTTTGTTATTCATATTAAGTTTTTCCAATAGATGATATTAAACTTTTTCAAAAAATATAATTTTAATAGTGAAATTAATACCATTTTCATTCAAATTAAGTGATTTATTCTAACATTTTATTGCATTGTAATCATTTTTGATTTATCAGTATTTTTACTTGTAAGTGTAAAATTTCTGTTATGGTAGGCATTCAATGTCCGGTTCTGTTTCCACCTGAGCATGGTAGCTTCATCAATGAGTGTGGCAACCGTGTTCACTCAGCGTGTGCAGTCACGTGTGACCTTGGATACAACCTGGTTGGTGGGTCTAATTTGTTAGTTTGCACCCCAAAAGGAACATGGAACCATCAGACACCACGCTGTGAATGTAAGTAGTGTAACATGGCAGAACTGAATTTGAATTGAGTTAATTCGAGTACCTGAGCAGTAAGGCAGGTTGCTGCTAAAAGCATCGGCACAGGTTCTAAACGCTCCTTGCTCGAGGATTTGGTTGGTATGACCAAGACTTCTCGGATATGGACTTAAAGTGGAGTTAAAAATCCATTGCATCTTGCTAAAGAATAGGGAGGGGGTTACCCCGATGCTATGGTTCATTTCAGCCTGTCGTTGTGGAATGGTGTGAACTTGTAGCCTGACTATAAGCGCCTCTTTACAGCCGCTAAGTAGTCACAGACCACGGCCATATGTAATTCAGCACTATGACGCAAGTTATGGGTTATTCTCGTACCTTTACTTAAATACTTTTATCGCCATGACAATCAAGATAACGATAGGGCTCACACATTTTCGAAAAAATGACTGTACATGAGTTTGTTTAACTTTGCCATGGTCCCTGTCACATCAAGTATGTAACTGGTAATTGGTTAATATTCCCTGTGGGCATTGTAATTCATAGTTTATTTAAACATCAAGGTCTAATTAATAAACTTGTACAAGTTGTGATTAGCACAGAACAGATTTTTGACAAATATTGTAAAAAGTATCTCACTTTGGCTTGGAAAAAAAGATTTGAATTATACAACAAATATACAACTGTATGTATGTATATATATATTTTTTCTTCCATTGTATAAGAATGCACCATCAAATTGATGTGTGCTGCTCATTGTAAAGCGATTCCTAATGAAAATCTGAAAATCACAGCATGATATAAGTAACACTGTAGTTTATTTATGGTAGCTTTTGAACAAACAAATTCAACAAAATTTAATGATGATGCGATGAATAACCACATTCAATTAAAAGGTAATATGATCAGGAATAAGCACATAAAACATATTTACCATCCTTTTTATAAACATTGAAATGATTTTTTCCCCCATTTATTAGTGAAAAAATGTGAAATGTTTCCTGTGCCAGAAAATGGTTTTGTGAATTGTAGCAGAAATGATTATGCATTTGATACAGTCTGCAAGACGACCTGTGACCCTGGATTCAAACTACTGGGATCAGCCTCTCGTGTGTGTCTCCTAATTGCCAAGTGGGATGGACTGAATCCCATCTGTAAAGGTACATGTCTTTCAAAAGAGAGCTTTCGATTTGTGCGACGATGCGACGCTAGAGTGGAATCACTCATGCATGACCATTCTACCGGGCGTCCTACATTCTCTGCATACGTAGATTTGGCCAAATTGTGTTCTAGAATCCATGCGACGAGGAGAACTTAACATTCTCGCATGCGCAGATGACTTTTAGTGACGTCATTATGTTCTACGTCCTACTGTCATTGTGCAGTCAAAGCTCCCTAATTATCAAGTGGGGAGGCCTGAATACTCTGTGAGTAGGAGGGGTTTGGTGCAGGGGGTTGCTTTTCTGTTTCTCAACATTGAGGTTGGAGTTTCAATCCCAACGCTGCATTTCGCTTGTGTCCTCTGGCAAAGCACTATAGATTGAAACACAAAATGTGCTGATTACAGCTGCAACAATGTGGAATTTCCCCCAGGGATCTGAGTATGTGTTCCATGTGTGCTAATTGACCAATGGCCAGAGGTAACAAAGAGAAGCGCAAAATTGCTAAGTAGAGCAGCCTGAAAAGGTGGGGGCCCTATGTGAGGAGCCTATTGCCAGATGGGGTAATGTTCAATAAACATTTAAAAAAATGAAATCTTATTTGTAAATGTATATGCAGGCCTGTAGTGACTGGTACAGTTGGTCAGGTTTCAACCTGACCATTTTTCGTCTATACGATGTAAAAATAGCAAATTTTCCCCTCAACTCTGGCGGAAGAATGAGAAAGCTATGAAGCTGTCTCTTATACACATCTAGATGTGTATAAGAGACAGGTGCTCCCTTGACTTGCAACCTGACCACTACAATTCTCATGGCTATGGCCCTGACATGTGTCTATTTTATTGATGATCATTTTACATTTTACAATTAGGTGTTATGTGCAAGCCAAAGTTACCATCAAAATTTGGTAGTTTTTCACCAGCATCATGTTCAAAGGAAAGCAGTAGTGTTGGCCAAGAATGCGTATTTAGCTGCCAGACAGGATACAGAGTCATTGGAAACCCTTCCTACAGGTGCCTGGATACAGGGAAATGGGATAGAAAATTTAACATTCTGAATGCTTGTAAAGGTTTGTTCAATTATCCTTTTTTCATTTTTGAAATGAATATTTGTTTTTCATAATTTTCCAAACAGATATATCATGAATGTGTTACTTCATTAATATACATTTTTTTTTTTCAGATATTGTTCCACCAACCATTGTCTGCCCAAGAGATATTTACATTGATGCTCAATTACATGGAAACAAGGCTCGAGTAAAACACTGGAGACTACCAACAGCTCAAGATAATTCTAACAATGTTACTATATCAACCCTGTATAGGACCATTAATCCACCTTACTTTTTTAACATAGGCACGAATAATATAACATACCAAGCACGTGATAGGGCGGGAAACACCGCAACTTGTTCCTTCATTGTCTATGTTAAAGGTAAGAACCACTCTTTCAGTTGTTTGTTCAAGCTGAAATGCACATCAGTTTAATTTTGTTTCTTGTCAGTGGCATATCCAGGAGTAAAGAGGGGTGAAGGTTGGGGGGGGGGAGGGCTTGGTGATTAGGTGAGGGGCGTAGCTCACAAAATAAGAGGTTTCAGGTCATTGGTAACCCCTGCTTCTTCTCACACTGTGGGTCGCGATTCAGATTTGGTTGCAGGTGCTATAACATTTTTTTTTAAATGTATCTGTGTGTAACTAATCTTAAGTGTATTTACTGATTATCTTAATAGTTAATAAGTTTGTTGTTTTTTTCTATTATTATATATCAAGCATCAAGTTTGTAATTTCATAGTTCACTTGTTTTGAATATGACAATAAAGTTCATCTTATCATATGTTATCTTATCTTATATTGCATAATACCCTATAGATATTAATACATATTAAATAGTTAATAATGAATAATAATAATTATCACCAATTGAGTTTTTAATTATGGGGTACAGTTAAGATATTGTATTGTGGATCACTAATTCTCTGTTATACATTATAAAATTTCATTAATTTTCTTACAGATACTCAGAAGCCAATTGTTGACCGGTGTGGCTCCCCACCCCCTGTTCTGTCCCCAGACCCATTGACAAGGGTCAGATGGAAAGAGCCAAAGTTCTCAGATAATTCTGGATTGAAGCCTGAGATCGTGTCTTCCCACAGACCAGGCGACTTGTTCCCCTGGGGCACAACAATAGTGAAGTACAGAGCTGCTGATCACTCCGGTAATGCCAACACTTGTGAAATTACTATTGATGTTCAAGGTACACAATTTACTTTTAATTCTTTTAAATTTCTTTTTTGTTTTAAAAAGAAACAGCGTGGCAACACCATTTATACATGTTGCTGTGGCACGATGGTCTGTTGATGAGTTTTAATGCTCATTTAAGGGCTGGGGGAAAAGTGTGACCCCATGACCGGCGGTTGGGGGAATCATGAATGTTCCTGAGGCATTTTTGGGAAAAAAACTTCTGAAAAAATAATCTGTTGGTCTATATGTTTATAGATAACATTTGGTGCCGGAGGCATTTTATCGAGACAATTTTCATGGTCATAGGCACATTGTTTTTTTGCAGGGGTGGCACAATTGCACATAATTTTTTATGCAGTCTGAATGTAACACATACTGTGCATATGTATACAAGTTGCAATAGTATGATTTTGCCAAAGTAAGGGTACTTTGTCTTGGTCAAAAGTGAACTTTAATTTAGTATTTTTGTTACTTTTTCTGGCTATTTGTACTATTATTAATTTTTTAGATATAATTTGTGATGATTTGATTTCTAAATAGAAACTGCTTGTAAAGTGCCGCAATATCCCTATGGAGGCTACGCAGACTGTAACCAATATGGCAAAGGTTTAAACTGCACAATAGGCTGCAAAGACGGCTTTCACTTTGCCATCACTCCACATGCCATGTACTCCTGTTCACCTGATGGACAATGGCATCCCCAGAATTCTATGCCCTGGCCGGACTGCTCAGGTAATTGATAGCTTGCCAATATGTGTCTTCTAAATATTCATTTTGAAGAATTTATGAATATCTTATTATATAGTATTTAAAAAATTAATAAACAAATGAAAAATTAATGTATAAATAAAATTAAATAAAAAAATATGGGAAACTCAGAATTATTAATTTTTTCATCAATAATTATAATGTCCCTAAAATTTATTTTTATTATAATTAATAATTTGTAATATTACATGATAGAAGTTTTCTTTCCTGATAGAGATATTCATGATGTGTAGTAATTAATATTCGTAATGGAAAACTGACTTTAAACATACATAATAAGAAATAAAGTGCAAGCCAGCTATTTAATGATGAATGCTTTTTATATCTGCAGAGTATAAATATGTCAAAGATGTGAAGCTGCCTGTAACGATAAGCTATGAAGTGCCAAAGTGCGATGAAGAAAGTGTTGATGAACTCAAAGCTAGAATAAGTAGCAGTCTAGATTTACAGGTTAGTCAATTCAAACACCAGCGGTTCAGGAAATACTTATTTTTTAATATAAATTTATAGTATTATTCGGTTCAGTATGGAACAGGCCACCTTTACCAGTGTATTGTATATATATGACATTGTACGTGTACCAAGAACGACAATTGTGTATTCTTATGTATGCTATGGTAATATTAACTATTTTTAAAGTCCCTGACCCTGCAAATTTTCATTAACATCAAATTTTATATTAAAAAAAATTGATTTTAATGTATGATAAATATAATATGCTAAATTTCTGCTTCAAATTTATTCATTCTTAAACTTAAAAAAAATACAAAATAAGAACCAAATTTGATTTTTGTGTGGTGGTTTATGGCGTATGATTAGAAGTCATGACACCAAACTGCTTCTGCTTTAATAATGTGCTATACAGTTTCTTAATACTTTACATTATTATTGTGTCTTCATGTTTTTAAGTAAGCTTTTTTTGTTTTCAGAATCGATAAGTATAAAAGGTTTTTTCTTCATTTTCTTTTAAGTTGAACCAGCTCTGTGGACAACAATATAAGTGTATTGTGTCATACTTAAATGCAATGTGTGTTACAAAACAAGGTCTGTAAAATATTCAACATATTTTAGAAAGATTTTAGTAACAAAATAGAAGAACAAGCATGATTAAGCAACAAATAGTGTGTTTTATATATACTGCAAATTGACAAACTCTGTATTGTGTCCTTGCGTGCATTTATTTGTTCGAACTGTTAGTTTTGTTTGAATTGGTAGCAGCGTTTATTTAACGCAATTCTAGATCTGTCTCTTATACACATCTAGATGTGTATAAGAGACAGATCCTGAATGATTTTTAAATTGATAAGAATTCTTTAACATTCTTCAGTTTTAAAATAGTGTCCCATCCCCTTTTTAAAAATGGACAACAGCTGGTAGGTTGTTACTAAGGAGTTTCTTTTTTTTTTTTAGGTGCCCTACATTCAATAAGAAGACGACGCACTCTTCAAGTTGATGATGCATTGCACACATCTGATTTGCATGAGCAGGATGATCAAGTTTCTCATCAGATAATCAACACAAACTCCTCTCAATCAAATTCAAAATTTATTGTTGAAATCATGATTAATGGTTAGAATTAAAACCCTTTATTTCAATCTATTTCTGTATTGTCTTATAATTATTGTTATTTTATTAAAAAATACTAGAAAATAATATTTAAAAAAAAATTAGCTGGAACAGAGCCTGTATAAACAGCTGCTTTAATAAAATGGAAATAAAATATGCACTTTTAAATAGTTTCTTTCTACTCTTGCATTCTCATGTGCAAATTGTTGGCAGTTGAAATTCTATTGTGATGATAGTAATGTTAATACTGACAAGGATATTATAGTAATGTAAATGCTAATTTACATTTTTTTTTGCCATAAATGATGAAAAAGACATCCAAGTTTTCTATGTAAACAATTCTTTCAAATCAGATTCAAAATTTATTGTTGAAATCATGATTAATGGTTAGAATTAAAACCCTTTATTTCTGTCTATTTCTGTATTGTCTTATAATTCTTTTATTAAAAAATACTAGAAAATAATATTTAAAAAAAATTAGCTGGAACAGAGCCTGTATAAACAGCTGCTTTAATAAAATGGAAATAAAATATGCATTTTAAATTGTTTCTTTCCACTCTTGCATTCTAATGCGCAAATTGTTGGCAGTTGAAATTCTTTTGTACCTAAAGTTTTTATTGCTGGAATATATGAAGTGAGTGAAATTTATGTAAACAATTTTTTTTTTAGCCAATCATGCATCACCATATGTCCCCTCTGATGAAATTGGTGATCCAGAAGAACTTCAGAATCTAGCAAGTGTATTAGATAATGTGAAAGCATACTTAACCTTTGACATCACGAGTAATATTTTGAACATGACGCAAGGTGACGAAGAAGCTGTTTTTGCTCAGGTAGAGGGCGTGTGTCCGGCAGGTTCTGTATTAAAGGACGGCAATAAATGTGGTAATGTGTGTCTTATTTTTTATATAGTATCTACATTCAGTAAGGGTGGTAATAAAATATAATAAACAATAATGATAACAATGATAATGATGATTTGATGATGATGATGATGATAGTAATGTTAATAATGACAAGGATATTATAGTAATGTAAATGTTAATTTACATATTTTTTTTGCCATAAATGATGAAAAAGACATCCAAGTTTTCTATGTAAACAATTCTTTCTGCAGTAAAATGTGCTAAAGGAACTTACTATGAGAATGGACAGTGTACATGTTGCAGAGTTGGGACTTATCAGACTGTAGAGGGTGCACTGTCATGCCAGGAATGTCCAACAAACTCCTCCACCTTGCTACCAAGATCTAAGAATAGAGATGACTGCAAAAGTAAGTCTGTACACTTATTCATTTTTACAAATACTTGGTAATGATTCAATATAACATTGTTGTTCAACATAACATTTTTTCTCTTTACATACAAAATTTGAGGATAGATATGTACATTACATAATAATTTTAAAATTACATAAGAATTTATTAATGCATATGTGAGCCATGCATTTTTAAATTCTTATATGATTTTTTTAGGTTGCAGAACCTTTCTGTCATTGGTTTATACTTATTGTATCTCCTTCATATTACCCTGCATGCAGAAATTTTTTAATAGAATAATCTCCCAGGGGTCCCAAGTTAGAAATCAATTCCAGGAGATCTGCAGCGACAGATCCAGGAATTTGAAATGGGGGTGGGGGGCGAGGGGGACTTTCACAGATGGATGGTTGAGACCACGTCAGTCCTAACATGGGTGGGGCTGAGGTAAGAAAATTTATGTTTAACGCAATTCTAGATGGTGCGAAATGGCACTCTCAGACTTAAATTTAAATAAAATTTTACTTGTTTCTTTTTGTTTTTATTTTGAAAAATTCAGGGGGTTATTTTCCATGAGATTCTTTTTTGCTTGCAGGAATTTGGGCCGTCCTGATTTCCAGGAGACTCCCAAAAGTTGCAGGGGACTTGGGAACCCTGATCTCCTCTTGCAAATATGTAATTGAACATGTTTGATTGTTAGATATATTTCTTTTTATAACTGAATCAAATGTTTACAATATAATAATAACATTTGCATGTAATTGCAGGCATTTGTCCCCCTGGAACATGTTCCAACACAGGCCTGGAACAGTGTGAAAGCTGTAGCCAGGGCATGTATCAACCAAACGCTAACAGTACCACATGTATGCACTGTCCATCGAATACAACTACAGCAACCACCGGTGCTGTCTCACACCTCAACTGTATAGGTAAGATTAATTCTAGCTTGAAATTTTTATCAGTATTGTATCAAGCAACACCAATAAACTTTAGTTAAAATTTCCAGTATTTAAAATTAAGTTTTAAGATTATTAATGTTAATTTACCTCCTAGGAACTATTCTTAGTCATGCAACTAATATAACACCAGACCAATGTCATTAAAACCTTAACTTAATACTAGGTGCCTCGTTGTAGTCTTGGGAGGAGATAAATAAACATAATTGAGCACATCAGTACCAGTTTCCTTCCTGATTATTTACCTTATATTATACCAATTTATGCACTAAAGTTATTCCTCCATGATATGACTATGTTTATTATTCATTTAGAGCAATGCAACCCAGGATTTGTATCAGGAACCGGTTTAGTCCCATGCTACCCATGTCCAGAAGGATACTACCAGGCAAACAGAGGAACAAATTACTGTGATAAATGCCCACAGGGATCAACAACTAACACTGTTGGGTCAACTTCAGCGGCAAACTGTAATGGTAAGCTCTGGGTCTATCACATCAGAATTTACATTTTGTTCTACACTCGTTGAGCGTGGGGAGGGGATGTGGTCGTGCTCATGATTCCCATTTTGATCATGTTTGATGTTCTTGCATATTTCATCTGTTTCAGTTGGGAAGCAAACATCTCAAAAACCTGGGACGAATGAAACAGGTACAAGAACGTTATCATATAATGAATGCTTCAAACAACCATGCAATGACGGTACCTGCCTGAAGATCAATGGTGGATTTGTGTGTCGTTGTCACCCTGGATTTGAAGGTCTGTATCTGTAAGGAGAAACATGCAAATGTAATGGAATTGAAAAATTGTATTTTATAGGCTTGATCAAAGCAAGGTATATAATGGTTCCAACACATTGGAATACTTCTTACTGTGTGTTTTTATAATTTGAAAACAGGTGCGCTTTGTGGAATTAATGTGAATGAATGCGAAGGAGTCGTCTGCTTAAATAATGGTACCTGCCAAGACGGAATCAACCAGTTTACTTGCAACTGCAAGCCGGGATTTCAAGGTAAACTCAATGATTTATGTCACAAACAAAAAAAATAAGTGTTATATCTTTGTAAGCAACACATGTTAGAATAAATGTTAGAATAATTGCTTTGAAGGTCTGCAGTATAGTGTGCAATTTATATTTTATACTAAACTTGTCCTAATTTTTCCTCTTTTCCTTTTTAAAAATAATCTTATCTTTTTAGATGTTTTTCAATTTTTAACATCAGCTATAGCTTTTTCATATTGTTTTTATCTTTATGTAATTTAATTTTCTAACATCTTCATGCAGTTTTTCATATTGTCATGCTGGTTTTCATATTCTTTCTTATGTGTTTTTTTTATTTATATGTTATTTTATTTTCTTTCCATTCAGCAGTTAAATGTAAAAATGAAATTTCTTTTAATAAATGAACAATGTAACCATAGCCTGCACGCTAATTGATAGAATAAAGATATAGTGTAGTCCATGAAGAAAAAATTGCTGATTATAAATATAATTGATAATAATTGATTACATTTAATTCCAGGTGTTCTTTGCGATGAAGATGGCAATGAGTGCGAATCAAATCCGTGTCAGAACCAAGGCAGGTGTGTGGATGCAGTCAACAGCTATTATTGTGATTGCCCAGAAGCTTACACAGGTATTCATATGTTGTATACGTACAGTGAAAGTGTCACAAAATGGTAGAAAGTGTCCCCAAAATGTTACAAAATGGTACAAAGTGCTACAAAATGTGGTAGAAAGTGTTTTAAAATGTTACAAAATTGTAGAGTGCTAAAAAAGGGGATGAATATCTATCAGCAGATGGGCTAGTACCAATTTCTGGTATGACCTTCTAAAAATAAATATAGTAAAAAAATTGTAGTAACAAATGAAGTTGCAATTTGTTTGATTCTGTTTTAGATGGGTATATTTTAACAAGAGTTTTTATTGATTTGTAGGTTTAAATTGTGAACTAGAAGTGGATGAATGCAGCTCATCCCCCTGTGCTAATAATGGAAAGTGTAGTGATGAAATTGGTGGATTTAGGTGCTTGTGTCCTCCAGGGTACTTTGGTGGTAGTTGCCAGTTGGAAATAAATGAGTGTAAAAGCACACCATGTGAGCATGGAGGCACGTGTGTGGATGAAGTCAATGGGTTTAGGTAATACAGTATCATGTTAATATTTATAGTCATGTTGTCTATTTCGTGAATACTTACCTTTTAGGAACTTACCTCAAAATTAATGGAATCATCCGATCCATGCCTATATAATGCATTAATGTTATGTAACAGGCCTCAATTTTCCTTTCACCCTGAGATAGTATACAGTATGGTAATTATATTTATAATTTACATATGTTTGCTTCTCACTACCCGGTAAGATGTTGTCCCATTGAATGTACTAGTTTTGACATAAAATTATTAAAGAGGATAATTATTAATAAGATTTATATATCAGGAATAATGATTTTTTATATGATAATGTCATTTGGTGATGATGATTATTATTTACTGTATGATAATTGTCTTAAAAACAGATCAATTGTATCCTGTATAAACATCTTTTAAATAAATAAATAAAAATTGTAATTATTATCATTACTGTTAATTGTCTAACTGAAAAGTTTCTTTCAATGTAATTAATTTTGTAAATCTCAGTTGCATCTGTCCAGATGGTTTGGAGGGAGATCAGTGTCAGATAAACTCGGATGACTGTCTGCACAGACCATGCGTTGATGGCTCCACATGCAGAGACCTCGTTAATGATTTTGAGTGTTTATGTCAACCTGGATATGGTGGTAAAGTCTGCGATATTGGTAAGAGTATATCAATAAATTATTTCATCATCCACTAGGGAAAAGTTGGTAACTAAGATTACCTGAACTTGAATCCTTATTTGAGAAATTTACTCATAGTCACATTGATTCTTGAGGATGTGATTAAACTCAAGGGGCTGTCTTTAATTAGTCAGCAGAGCTTTAAACAATATTTCACAAGTCTTGGGCTAAGTTCTAACTTAAAAACATATCAATGTTTGTGCAATATGACTATTTTCAAACATTTAAATGTAATGTTTAAAATGTGAAAAAATACCAAATACATTTTTTATTCCAGAGTTAGAATCCAACTTCAGTCTGTCCTTTGAGTTCACCGGTACGACAGATTACGTACTTTTGGACGGCATTCCTGATCTGTCAGCAATAACTGTTGCATTCTGGATGCGTACATCTGATACAGACAACTGGGGCACAGCCATTTCATATACAGTGGATTTTGACTTGTTTGATGAACTTGTTCTAATGGATTATACAGGGTGAGTACTGTACATTGATGTTTTGGGCATTGTGTTTTTAGAGACAGTGATTGGTTTTATTTTCCTCTTTTTGAGAAAATAATAATTTATATAGTGCAAAACAAAAGAAAATAACAAGCATTTAGGTTTAAGACCTTTTGATAAGAAAATATCCAGACCAAGTTAAACTAAAATAAGTGCATATATAAATAAATGCTTTTTTAACTTTGTAGATGGGTGTTAAAAGTTCGTAACACAACAGTAATCACGGATTTAACGACTAATGATGGAGTATGGCATCATATAGCAGTAACCTGGAGCAGTGTCGGAGGAGAGTGGCATTTGTATTGTGATGGGGAGGAGGTGGTACAGAGACCAACTGTACCTCTAGCAGTCAATGATATCATTCCAGGTCCAATATGAACACTTTCCACATAAAATTAAAAAAAGAATTTAAATAATAAACATATTTTTGAACCAAGTCTAGGATTTGAGATTTAATTTATATGTGATGAGCTACAGTAAACAACTTTCAAAAGTTCCTGTGAATACATTAATATTCTATTTCAATGTGTTGAATGTTTTTCCCCAGATTTTATCCAAGTATATTGTGTATTGACAAACAGTAAACTGCACAACATCCCAACTATTTCAGTATACAATAATAATATTGTATTTTAACCCCCGAAATGTATTTAGGTGGCGGTGTGTTTGTGATTGGTCAGGAACAGGACACCCTCGGTGGTGGATTCAGCTCTCGTGAAGCTTTCATTGGAAACATTAGTCAGCTAAATGTGTGGGATTACGCCCTTGATCAAAATGAAATCGCAGCTTTAACGAGATCGTGTAAGGAGGCCCGGGGCAACGTGATTGCGTGGCCAGATGTGAAGAAGGGCATGTACGGTCGAGTCAAACCTATACCCAAGAATTTCTGTTCAGGTGTGTGTCTAAATTTGTATTTGTTGTGGTTATGTATATTCATCTGTAATATTTTTCATTTATGTGCAGCTCATCTATTGATTTCTCGGCTGCATAGTTTTTAACCTCTGCCATAGAGGGTTGTATGTATTTAAAGAAATCCTATCGAAACCAATCAAAAGTTTCTCTTACATGCTGTCTGTGTGTTTCAGGTTGCCCTCACCCCGTTGAGATTGAGCATGGGACAGTATCTGGGTACGTACCGTCTTTACCACTCCAAAACATTACTTACACTTGTGAGGCAGGGTTCATAATAACTGGCTGGCCAGAGGCAACATGTGAAGTCTATGGTGATTGGCTGTTCCAACACGTACCCCCTGTGTGTACCAGTAAGTAACACCTAAGTATCCTGGTTGAAAAAACAGTATTATGTTTGAAATATTATTATTTTTATGGCAAATGCTTATGTACATATTCTATTAGAACTGAATTGTACTGTTCATGCAGTAGTGATAATACAAATGGGTAGTGGATATGAATACATGCAGAAATATTTAGTAGTAGCAATTCATTAAAAAATACATATAATACACCGGCCAAATAATATTTTTGTTTGGTATATTAAATATATGTTTTTTAACTGTACATTTAAGCAGATACCTGGGCTTACCCATGCTAGCCCACTGCAAGGAATAACCACACCAGCTCTTTGTGCAGAAGAAACAGATGCAAATACAGATCACAAAGTATAATGTGATTCTTTGGTCTGTGACATACCTCCTCTTGTGTAGATCTGTTGTCAGCTTTCCCCATGGTCCAAAACATAGTCTATGAAGCCAGATATAATTACTACAAGATAGAGTCCAAGCTCGTTAAATATTTACAAAATTTCTTCAAATGTTCATATAAAACTTTTGAAAAACAATAAAGATTAATATTTTCTTCTTGCAGAAAAATACTGTGGACATCCAGGTTTTGTTGATGATGGGGATGTTATTGGAGATGATTTTGAATTCAACGACACGATCCAGTACCGTTGTCACGATGGTTTTAAATTACACGGCTCAGAAACGAGGCGGTGCGCTGAGGACGGAGAATGGGACAGCGAACCTCCTCTGTGTTTAGGTACTTGATCGGCATGCTGGCAATTATTCTCTCTAATTTATTATTTATTTATAAATTATTATATTACTGTCTATTTAAATTATATTTAATGAGTATTTGTGTTTTTATAATATTTAATTATTTATATTATATACTTGCCATTTGCTATTAGCCTCTTTCATAAGTTGTGTCACAATAAAACGTTTGGTTAATTTTTTTTTTATTATATAGTTTTTATATCTTTAGAAATGTTTGACATTATCTTTTATGAATTTTTATATTAACTATTTTAAATTTTAATTTATCTTTCAAGAAATCTTGTGCAACAAAGTGCCAACAATATCCAATGGTAATGTGACGTTCATCAGTCAATCTCAAAACCGTCAAGGTTCTACGTTCAGTGTCTCCTGCAATCAGTTCTACAGGTTGGAAGGACAAGGCACTGTGTCCTGCCAACGAAATGGCCACTGGACTAAAATGCCAAGATGCCGACCTCTAAGTTGCCAGCCGTCTGTAATCTTTAACGGTTATCAGAAACAGAACAGCGATCCAGTCAAAGTTGGTGACCAAGTTACCTACTTCTGTGATAGAGGATTTGAAATTGTAGGAGAATCAGTTTTTGTCTGTCAAGAAGACCTGAGGTTCAACGGCAGTGTTCCACATTGTACAAGAATCGTTTGCTCTTCTGTTCCGTCTGTGCCAAACAGTGAGCACAGTCCCATTAGAACCATGTACCACTTTCATCATACTATTCAGTTTACTTGTATCCAGGGTTTTATCATGGAAGGTGTCGCTGTGCTGTCTTGCGTTGACATGGAGACTTGGGATGGTCCGCCTCCGCGCTGCATCCCTCTCACTTGCCTTCCACCCGCTGAGATTGAGCATGGACAAATTATTGGCACTGATTTCTCTTTCCAACATTCCATCACCTACGAATGTGATTCTGGGTATACAATTTCTGAGAGAATACTCCGAAGCTGTCTTGGCAATGGTACTTGGAGTAATACCACACCGAAGTGCATACCAGTTGAATGCCCTCCCCCAAACCAACAGAACCATATGAACATTACAGGTGATTCATTTACATATGGTGACGTGTTATTATTTACATGTAGTGAAGGATATTGGTTAGAAGGTGAGAGAGTGCTACAATGTGAAGCTGATAAGCAATGGAATGCAACAGTACCCACATGTAACATCGTTGATTGTGGAAAACCACCACAACTGCAGGAGAGTGTTGCTCACTACATTACGGGACATGTGTATGGCAGTAAAATGAACTATTTTTGCAAGGAAGGGTACAGACGCCTGAAGACAGGTACAGAATTTACGTGTGGACCAGATGGAACGTGGATCGGGGAACAACCATCTTGTAGTATTATCTCCTGTCTTCGTCCCATAATTCCAATACATGGATTCATGGATGGACAGAATTTTACTTATGGAAGCACAGTAAGCTTCAGATGTGAGGAAGGTTACCAGCTGAGTGGAGATGCAACGATGACATGTGGTGCAAATGGCAGGTGGAGTTCAAATGTACCAGTGTGTTTGGTTACATGCAGTAGACCCTTATTTCATGCGAACACTATCATCACCAGTGATGGTGGTATTTTCACCGCCAATAGCTCATTGTCTATAAGTTGCAGCAGAGGTCAAAGATTATTGGGGCTGTCCCGTATTATCTGTTTAAAGAATGGCACATGGTCAGGAGATCCTGGGCAATGCATTGCTATCCAGTGTAATCCCCCAGAGATCCTGCATGGCATTCCAGATGCAATGGTTTATCAAGAAAATCAAACTTTGTCATTCCAGTGTCTGGATGGTTATCAGAATGTTTATAGTCATGATTTTATTTGCACAAGTTCTGGTGAATGGCAAGGGTCCATGCCATCATGTAAACTGATTTCTTGCCCAAATATTACTAATTTTCAGCACGGAAACATGGTTGCATTAGGTTTCACATATGGTAGTGAAGTCCATTTTAGTTGTAACATTGGATACCAGCTCATTGGAGCTGATCGGGTCATCTGTAGGGCCAATGGCGATTGGAACCCTTTGATTCCTTTCTGCATTATAGTTAGTTGTCCAGATTTACCAATTCTGAAAAATGGTTTAATTCAACGAGGCAGCAATACATATGGAAGCACTGCAAGGTTTTCATGTTTAGAGGGATTCAGGATTAATGGACCGGACGCAATACACTGCTTAGCAACTTCTGAGTGGAGTGCAGCACCACCAACCTGTGAGATCGTAACTTGTAAGCAGCCAGGATTATTAGAAAATGGTCATTTTACTGTTAATGGTGTAAACGTTTCCTACTACTGTCAGCCAGGATATTCATTGATAGGTAAGTCATTAACAACTTGCCAAAAAAAAGAAAAAAGAAATTGTGTTGTGTTTGACTTCAAATAAAACTTGCAAAATCCTAATTAAGTATTTGTCACGTCTTGAGGCTATATCTGTAACTAATACTGGGCATTATTTTGTGTATTATGTTTACAGTGTATATTATTATGTTTTTATAAAGTGTAAAGTGTGTGATTTTTCCAAACTTTACTTTTTATTTTGATTCATTTTATAGGTCGTAGCATTTCAGTGTGTCAAGATGATGGAACATGGAGCCAAGAACCCCGTAGCTGTAGGCCAGATACCTGTCCGAGCCCCCAGAGTTTAGTGAATGGATTTTACACACCGCAGAAAGCACAGTACTATTTTACTGATGACTTGGTGTATTCCTGCAAACAGGGCTACACACTTGAGGGAAACGGCCAACACATATGCGGTTTGAATGGCAAGTGGATTGGTGGGCATGTTAACTGCAAAATAAAGTCATGCCCCCGGCCTGGTCGAATTTCCAAAGGATCAGTATTGGTTAAAACCTCACGGGATGGATCACAAATTAGTCAGTACTCATGCGAAGATGGTTACAAATTAAGGGGGCGCTCGTCAATAATATGTTCAGCGAATGGTCAATGGAATTCTCGGCAACCACAATGTATTCTCATAGATTGTTCCCTCCCACCTGATATAAGTAATGGTAGAGTCATGTCCAACAATGGTACAACATTTAGGAGTGTGGCTGTATATGCATGCAGTAGAGGATACCAGCTAAGTGGAACTGAGAAGGTAACATGTCTAGAAGATGAGCAATGGAGTAGAATACCAAAATGTGAGAAAGTGAATTGCCCAACACTTCATAACCCAGCTCATGGATATGTGCGACAACTAACAACAACAAATACAGCAATATATAGTTGTTATGAAGGATATATTATAAAAGGTTCTCGGCGACGTAGTTGTAAGTTCAATGGAAGATGGGCAGGACAGGCTCCAGTATGTAACCCAGTCAGTTGTGGTGTACCACGTGAAATAGAACATGGCAGAAGGACCTACGATGAATACACCTTCAGCTCAAAGACGCACTACGAATGCGATGAGGGATTTAAGTTACGAGGCGCAGGTCAAATCACATGCATGAGCTCAGGACGTTGGAAACCCGAGTTGCCCAAGTGTGATATTATTTCATGCGGAGAACCTGATAAACCCCAGCATTCTGTAATCAATTATGTTGATGGTACATTTCAGGATATTGTTACTTATATGTGTGATATAGGGTACATTCTTGAAGGACCAACAGAGAGGAGATGTTTATCAGATGGATTGTGGAGTAATGTTACCCCTGTATGCTCTGCTGTGAAATGTCCACCACCACCTCTGTTCATAGGTGCATTACCTTTGACCACCAATGCAGAATACATATTTGGAAGCATAGTTAATTTCAGTTGTTCTACTGGATTCAAAAACCAGGGAACAGGAACGATAATGTGTGAGGCTAGTGGAACATGGAATGTTACGGTTGATCCGTGTATTGCGGTAGAATGTCCGCATCCATCTGCCTCCACCCTCCACGAACAGCTTTCAATGACTGTTCTTGATTATTCGGTTGGAGCAGTTATCACTTTTAGTTGTACCAACAACTATCAAATTCATGGACCAAAATCATTAACATGTGATATTAATGGAAATTGGAATGACTCCTTTCCAACATGCAAAATGTTTACATGCCCTAATTTGACTCTTTCAAATGGTGAAGTTCGTTTGCACCAACATGACAAAAGCAGTGTTAATTTCACATGCAATTCTGGGTTTGAACTCAATGGTGTACAATCTGTCACCTGTTTTGCAAATGGTACGTGGAGTCAGCCAAAACCTAGCTGCGTAAAAGTTGAATCTGCCTGTGGTACACCACCAGCAATTAACAATGGTTATTATAGAGTGGACATGTCAAGAAGGGCCCCACAAGCACACTACATGTGCAATGCTCGATACTATCAGATGGGACCAAGTTCTACATTTTGCCTTGATGGCCAGTGGCATGGAACACCACCTCAGTGCTTACGTGAGTAGAGTTAGATAACAATAATGATGAATTATACGATTAGCCGGTGATTTATTAAAAGTTATTGTTACAGAGTTTAACTTGGAGTCCAGACATAAAGTACTTAATATTTTACTTGCACAATTAATTTGTAAAACACAGTGGGGCACGTTTGCACAGCACATGACTCCTTGGATAAGCATTTTGTTGGCTTTTTATGGAGGATACAATTCAAGATTCAAGATTCAAGACTTAAATTATAAATAAAAATTACAAGTATGATCGGTATATTGGTATTTGTTTAACCTTGCCATTTCAGTTTTTTAGCTGATGTTTTTGTAACAATACTATAAATCTACACGTTGATAACAATTGTTTTTTTGTTGGTTTTCCAGCAGCACATGCTGTATACAATCCGAGGCCACCGATTTGCATCCTACACTGTCGTAATGGTGGTATCTGTGTTGGGTACAACCGTTGCAGTTGCCCCGTGGGCTTTATTGGTGAAAGATGTCAGATTGGTAGGTTGAATAACTTTTAAATAGTCATATTAAAATATAAATACTTTGGATGTTTGGGTAATCTGTAAAAAAAATGAATAATCAGTGAATAAGAAGTCAATCACATCAAATTCTAACTCATGTAATAGAATACAGTATGTAGTTTTAATTTGTCTTATTGAAATTAACGAAAAGATAGTTTTCTGTTTCAAACAGTAAGTTCTTTCTACCTAACAATAACTTCTTTAGCCAGTGCTTTGTTGTTCTTATAGTTTACACTGAAATGACCTAGCTGATCTGCTGTCCTACCGCAGTATGTTGGTGTAATTCATAGATTGATTTTTCTCTGCCCCAGTTGCCATGTTATGGTATCCAAAAATGATACATAAAAGTGTAGAGAATAGATTAAACTAAATTAGGAAACATTCATTCATTCATTCATTATTCGTACATTCATTCATCAAATTCATCATTCATTCATCCATCCATCCATTCATTTGTTCATTCATTTTTTCTTATTTACCAAAAGAAGAAAATGGAGCAAACAAATAGCTTATGCTAAGTCATGTTCTTCCTCCAAATCTAAGATTTTAACTTTTTCTGTTTACATGATTCATAACAATATAACTTAATAGCATAAATGGTTCTGTAATAATGACATTAAATATTTATAATTATAAATATTGTAAAAAAAAAATAATTAAAACAGAGTGGGTACTGATGGTTTTTTTTAATGTCTTTTATTTCTTTCAGCTATTCAAAACTGAACACCGAATACTAAGGCTGTTGAAAGAAATACACTGAAAATTTAAAAAAATGATAACATTGATAATAATATTGACTGGAAGTTACAATCGGACTCTGTCATGATACAATCAAAATAGAGAAATATTCAGAGTCAGAGGCTTAGTTTTCTACTGTAGGTTTCAACACCTTACTGGTGCCTTTGGCAATTCACTCATCTTGAGACCTTGTGTGATGGTATAATAATCTATCTAGCAAAAGAACCAAACACGAGAAAAGACGAGAAACAATAGAAATCCCCTCCCCCACCCTCTCTTTTTTCCAAGAATACAGATACATCTACTGACGATGTACAACCCTCTTGTCGTGTGATTATACCAACATGTAAGGTCATGTGAGCAAGTAAACCACCACTAAGCCTTTCACTCGGAAAGGTAACAATGCTCTATAATGATAAACAAAATGTGATATCATAAAGGTAACAATGCTCTATAATGATAAACAAAATGTGATATCATAAAGGTAACAATGCTCTATAATGATAAACAAAATGTGATATCATAAAGGTAACAATGCTCTATAATGAAAGGTAACAATGCTTTATAATGATAAACAAAATGTGATATCATAAAGGTGATAATGCATAGACAAAATATATCAAAGATGATAATGGTAGACAATTATATGAAACAGATAGTTATGATAAACCAAATATATAGGCTTCACAAAGATGGTTATGATAGACTAAATATGATATTATTATTATTATTATTATTATTATTATTATTATTTATTATTATTATTATTGTTATTAGCCATTTTTTGAGAATCTTTGACTACCAGTGACTAGCGTGCCTAGTATGGTATTATGGCTTCAAGTGACACAGAACTAGCCTAGTCTAACCAGAAGGCCGAGACCAAAAACCAATAAAATAAAAGCAGATCACGGGCTATCAGAGGCAGATAGCCTCTCTCACATTGTTTCACCATATAACAAAGATGATAATGATAGACAAAATATGATGCCATACTAAATATGATAATGATAGACAAAATATGATTTCATTAAAAAAAAGATGATAATAATAAGACAAAATGTGATGCTGTAATAAAGATAATAATAGACAAAATAATGCCATAATGAAAATGATGATAGACAAAATATGATTACATAAAAAAAGATAATGACAGGCAAATTATGATATAACAAAGACGATAATGATAGCCAAAATGTGATATAACAAAGATGACAATGATAGCCAAAATGTGATGTAAAAAAGACGATAATGATAGACAAAATGTGATATAACAAAGGTGATAATGATAGACAAAATATGATGTCAAAACATACTGTATGATAGTACATTTCAGGATTTGCTATATAAATCAATTTATTGTAAATATTGATTATTTGTTTCTTGATTCACCCCTGGTTTCATATTAGTTCTAAGACAGTACAAATGCAGTAATGCATTTAATAAAATAAATGTTAGTAATAAGTGAATGTTTTGACGTGTCGCATGTGATCATTAGGCAGTAGTGCTCATGCTACTACTTGTACCGGTCAGATGCTTGACAAACTGGCAAAGGTAAGTCATGAATATTATTAGGAGTGTTCTTACCCCTATATGTTTTAATTTATAATAAGAAGTAAACTAAATTTGTAAATAAATTTTGTATTTTTAAGCTATTTTTTATACTCTTTATATTTGGAATGTTTTTATAGTGTGTTGGACAAAGTGATTGCTAAGCTGATATAAAGATTGCGTAACCGTAAATATCAGCATAAAATAGAATTTTATCTATGTCATATAATTATATTTGATACAAGAAGAAAAAATAAGTAATAAAATATGATAATGAACATTTATGCAGTTTTCTGCCATTATTTTCTGTGTTGTGGTGCATCCCCTCCAAAAATTACTTGTGCCACTCCCCCAGTGTGTCACTCCCCCAGTGTACCCCTCCTCCAGTGTGCCCCTTTCCCTAGTGTCCCCCAGTGTCCCTGACAAGAGCGTAAGTGGGTGTGATCGGGCGTCAGAATTGGCCCAGTGGTATCAAAGGCATATTTAATCGAATTTAGAGTCTTAATTTATTTTAAAAAATACATATTTTACCAACAACAAATTGTATTTTTCTCCCCGGCGGTGGGAAGGGGAGACAGCTTTTCCCGTAACCCCTGGCACCACCCCTGATGGTGATGATAAAGATGATGTTTTTCTTACACACATTTTTAATTTAATATTTGCCATCGTCAATAACGTTGCATGCTTATAATCATGGATGTAAGCCCCATTGAGCAAAATCTGGATCCTTCACTGAAGGAATATCTAGTAAAAATGGAGACATTCTGCAATTATAAAATTACATTATTATTAAAAAAAACCCCTGAATGATTAATTGGTGTAATTGTCACAGCAATAAATGATGAATATTCTATCATTTTAACAAAATTTGTGAATTAGGCTAGGCTAAACTTGCAGTGATAAATGAAGAATTCAATATTTTTTATTTATTTTTTAAGGTCGGTGTATTTTGTAATTTCACTATTTGTAGGCGGTTTTGTGTATTCAATATTGTATAAACTTTTAATAGACAAAATTACAGATTATCAAACAAAAAAAAAAACACATGAAAACTCAACAAGTATAACGTACGTTTTTTTAGGTTTATTTTTCATTCTACCTAGAATAGAGTAAGCCTAGTAAGATCTGTCGCAATGTATTTTAATCTAACTAAAAAATGTTGACATAATTACACATTGGTTGGTCAAATTATAGACGGATTCAAACTATTAAGTTTGTCGTTTTGAATTACATGCCGGTGAAACTGAATATAAAACATGGTGCGTTGGATAATTTCGTTATACGTAAAGTGGAATTCTTAGGTTATGAAAGTGGTAATTGTATTAAAGCTACATCTATCCTTTTTAAAAAGTAAAAATCTTCCAAATTTACTGGTGCAGTTCTTGACACTGATAACTAGTTTGATTAAGAGGTGGTGGCAGCGGGGGTGGGTCAATAGCCCCCGTTGGGGAGAAAAATCACAATTCATCGGGGGAGAAAAAAAAAAACTAAATGTATTTTCTACATATTTGTACTCTAAACTTTATTAAATAAGCCTCTGAAACCCCTAAATTGTAAAAAATTTTGGGAGCTTCGCCCTTCGCCCCCTGGAAATCTTTCCGGATATTTTATGCAAAGCTCGAACATGCCCACTTTGCTTTCGTCAGGGAAATCTTCCCCCTTGTTGGGGCATCGGCCACCCCGTCGGGAACATAGGGACCCCCCCTTCCCCCCGTCGGGCAAAACCTGGCGCCACCTCTGGTTTGATTAAAAAATCTATTGGTATCGTGTTTATGCCTAATTCAAATCACTGCATAATCAATAAGATTTTAACAACGATGTAAAGTACATAAGCAAGTGTAGGCCTGTGTTTTAGCTCCGATGAGGAGCACTACGAGCATCCTCTGCTGATTAAGATATACCCTACTGCCTTCATTGGAGCTTTTTGAGATATAACGTTAAACATATACTAAGTGATATTTTTAACTGAAGCATTTCATGCTGGTGTTTAATAAATTATAGTATAAAAATCATTTAAAATCTACAGAATACTTTATAAAAACAAATAACTAACACTTTTATAAATAAGGCTAGCTAGGCCAGCATTAACTTAAAAAAAAAAAAAAAAAGAAATCGTATAATCTCATATTTTTCTGATAATAAAAAAAGCCTTTCTAAGTGTACTGCACATAACAATTTTGCTAACACAAGTGGTTTAAAAATATGTAAAATTGATGACAGGCAAGATAATGACTTTCAAATAAACAATTGAGCGAAAAAACCCCTAAATTGCTAGAGGTCTGTAAATGTTTGAAGACACAATATAGGTAATTATATTGATATATTGCGTTTGAATCAACAAATTTTGTACAATGGTTTTCAGATGGTTTCACTTTTTAAACAAAATTATGCCATGGTATTTATGAAAGCCAAAAAACCTATTTACTATTCATAATTAAATATTTCGTCACAAAAACGAACTTTGTAAAAGAAGAGAAATTTTTGTCAATAGAGTAACTGAAAATAAATACTGTACCATAATGGTAAAATGGAATACATCATAAAAACTGTGATGTAGTCTTGAGATTCCTACACATACAGTAGGAGCAGCACACGAATGAATAATTAAAATGTAAAAATAAATGAATGAATAAATGTTAAATGAGTAAATGACAGATGAATAAATGATGAATGAATGAATGATAATGGAATGATCAATGAATGGATGGATGGATGAACGAACTGATGGATGAATAAATGAAGTTTGTCTTTGCTCCTGGAAAACTCTTAAATTTTGATTTTAATTTAATGATTATTAATTATCTGTTTAGATTCTTTTTTTTTCTCTTTAAATTTTGGTATTTACTGTACACTATTGCTAAATGAGCTATGAGGGTGGTGTATTGTTTGTTCTGTGTGAGTGGTGAACACCTCTATACCAGTAGGCAAACACCTGGGGTTGACGTAAGCCTATAACATGCAACACAGCCATAGCTTGTGAACTTATCTTATAAAACTACGATAAAGTTTTTAGATGAAAAACAACAAAAAAATATTTAAAAAATCAGGTGCTCTCTGAACCCTATTGCATAATGTTCTACAAAAACAATTCTTAACATTGCACATCAAAAACAATAACATTATTTTTAAAGCAACTATAAAACAACATACTTTTCAATAAACTATACCGTACTTGTCAGTATAGTAGTGATTATAAAAAACAAACTAAATGTCGTCGCTTGAATAAAAATATATAAACAAGAACTTCGTTCCTGCAGCATTGTCAAAAGACAATGAATAAGTGTGTATCATATCATACATTTTTAAATTTCTTAATTTTAATACAAGGAATTTACTAAAATATTACTAATAAAAAGTTTCACCATCAATTTATGGTTCCATTAGCCAACTGACAACTCAATATATTTTAATATATTCTATCAATAGCATATTCTTTTGTGCTACCAATGAATTATTTATATATTTTAATATATTCTAATATATTTTGATATTTTATAATATATTCCAATATATTTTAATATATTCTTAAATATTTTGATATATTTTAATATATTCTAATATATTACAATATTTTACATTCTGATTTTTTATATGTATAGATTTCAATATATATTGATAGAGATTACTCAGATCAACTATTTAAAATAAAGTTTTTACAAAAATTGTCTCTAAGCACTTTGCATGGAGAAAAACAAACAATAAGCAGAAAAAGCCAAAATTTTGGTAACAAATAGAGAGGAAACAATTAAAGGCAACACATGCTGACAATTTCTTTGAATAATAACTTTAAGCAATTACTAAAAAAACTAATTGTTTATGTTAATATACAACTATCAAACACTTTAAGAAGTGATGTAAAAAAAAATTGTAAAAATAAGAGATAGTTCAGTGGAAAGTGAGCTTGTATCTCACATTCCAGAACATTGGCTGTCACAACTACAATAATCGATAGTAGCACCGAACAATTATATTTTATAACACAACTTCTGAAGACTGATTTATGTTACATTTTCTGAGACTCTAAGAGATGTATACAATATTTAAACTAGAGAGCACACTATAAAAACATTATTTTTGCATGTAAATTTTTAAAAAATTCTAGCTTAGGTAAAGGTGGGCTTGTTCGTATGCAAATTATGAGATTACCTGACAGGTGCGTTTTCATTTCTGGTTACTTAACTATTATTAACCATAAATTCATGATTGTTCTAAAATCCTCTTAAATTTCTTGTATTTGTGATTTGAATACTGTAGTCCAATCTACAACCAAATACTCAGCACAAATTGCAGAATACCAATTTTGCATTATCTGTTAACCACATAATACCATACAGTACAAATGATATAGTTTAATAAAATTTTTTAGTGAACATTATATTTTGAGACTAATAAGTTCTGTCTCAGGACGTCAATTTACAATTTCTAAGTTAATGTAGTTTTATGCGTACTAATAGTGAAGATCGCAATCCAACTTATTATGCAGACCCAGGGCTGTCTTGTCTGTGCCAGGCATAATATCTTGTACCTATTTACATTTAAATATTTCAGCCTAGGAACACCACTTTATTGAACGACTGAACAACGGACTGATTTCAATGTCTGTACATTATATAGAAACACTGAGAGAGAACACACCGGGCAATTTGTAACAAACTAATCAAAGTGCTTAACAAACAGGATCTTGAACTATACATTGTTTAAAATTTACTACAAATACTTGCATGTAGCAGCAAATTTTTAAATCATAATTTCCTCATGTGAGGGATCATTACTAGTATTATTTACCTACAACACTCATGTAGGGATATATTACTAGTTTAGGTTTTTCTTAAACCCTCTCATTTACATCAAACACATATTTGCAAAAGCACTTGAACAAAATGTAAGTAGAATGGATGATAACTAGAAACAAAGGATTTTGTTTTGCAAGGCATATGAATGCAGATGATGAGAGGAGTAACAGGATTCTTAAAAGTAAATGTTATTTATCTCATATTATTTATATTCCAATAATTGAACTCTATCAACTTAGCATGATATTGTGCATATTTTTGAAACAGATATTACAAAATTGGATTCAGTTTGAATTTGTACAAGTCAGTCATACATTTGAGTGGATAATGTTCTCCAAGCAGCTCAAATTATTTGCTCACATTCATATAGCAGACATCATGTATCATGTGTTGAGTTGTGTTTACAGTTGTGTTCCTTATTTGTTTCTCCTTCTACTTTCTTTTCTTTGAGTTGCATTTCTGGTGGGATTTTCACTTTCATTTTAAAATCTGTCTTGAATTTCTCACAACATTTCTTGAATTTTGAGTTTGAATCTTCTTTCATCCATTGTTCAACCTCCTATAATAAAATGGCATGATCAGAATAATAATAATATTAGTCTTATAGAGCACTTAATGCAAAACATTATTTCAAGCAATTTACACAAAATGAACAAAAGAAATGGAATGAAACCATAAAATATCCCAACAGTAACCAAAAAATGAAGGATACCAACTAAATGCACAGGAACCATTTTACCGCTCCATTCTCCAGCACTTTGGAGCGCCCATAAATGAGAGCTCGCCGGAACAGCTTGAGTAAAATAATAGAGTGAATATCACTCCATGTACAATGCAATTAGGTATTACTTTACCAGTTGTATGCACAAAAGGTTACTTTTAAAAGTGAGCCCTCTTGGTGGGAAATCAGGACCCATAATTGACTATAGGCTTTATAAACTTATTTTACTTCATTTCAAAAAACGTATTCCAATTCCACAGTTAATCAAAAATTAACATAAAAATGCATACATGGCAAAACAAAATGTGATTATGGAATGGAATAGGACAATAATCAAAACAAGCAAAGCTTTAAACATGAAGGCTTGATGTGGTAAACTACCCCCCACGGGACACTAGGAGATGAAGATACTAAAATGCTGTAGATCAACTTGATGAGGTTTAAATCCAGGCAGAAAATAATGTCAAAGACCAAATTCTCACTATGTCCCTATCTTCAAAGTTTCCCCTCTCTCACTATGTTTTCCTTCTCTCACTGTTTCTTCTCTTCCAATTGTGCCCCCTCTTGCACTGTGTAGTCATACTGTACCTCTTCTACTTTTCCCCTTTTTTGCAGTGTCCCCTCTCTCACTGTGTCTTGTCGCCCACTCTGTTTCCTCTCCCACTGTGTCTCCTATACCACTGTGTTTTGCACTTTTATTGTCCCCTAACAGTAACCAACCTTAAGTATCCTGTCTTTCTTCAAGTAGAAATGCCTCGTAATGACCTCTTCAAAGCCAGGTGGAGGGAAGTCTAAATAATTGATCATTGCCCACTTCATGCAGTTCATGCGCACTTCTGTGGAATGCAAGTCAAGTATAAAAATACATATAAGAATACAGTCTAGACAGGCAGGGGAATGGTAATGGTAATGGTTGGAGAATTATATAGCGCATAATACATGGTCTCTATGCGCTCGGGACTAGATGTTGCACTTTACAATAACTTTCTCCTCCCCTAAGGGTCACTTCATGTCTTCAGCAGCCAGTAAACCGGCGCACTTTCATCTGTCCACGACAGGGACCAAATGAACCAGTACACCGGGGTAACCCCCTACTCATCTCGAAAGATGTACTGGGTTCTTTAAAGTGCACATGAGCATTTGTGTACACTGGGCCTACGGTTTATAGTCCTTATCCGAGAAGACTTGTCAAAAAGAGCAAACTATAAAGAACAGCGTAGGGTAACATAAGGGATGACAGAAAGAATTCATACTGAGTAACAGCATGAAAAATAAAAGACCAAAGTGTTCAAAAAGAGTAAACTAAGAATCTGACTTGAAGTACTGTACTTACAAGTATGCTGACCATCGGAGGTCCTTTAGGATAACTTGGAGGGAAGTAGATGTCAAAGAGAAAGCATCCACCAGAGTACGGAGTGCCTTCCGGCCTGAATCAAAAGAACAAATATGCTGCTGCACCAATCACAATTCAGGATTCATTTTTAGGATTAAATTAAACATTTAAAAAGTACTAAAAAATCAACAAAACAATATACAAATGAAACATACAAATAATTATTTTAGAATTAAATTTACATTTTTGCAATTCATCTAAGACTTTGTAAATAAACTATATATTTATAAAAATAAACAATATAATAATCATATATTATATTTAACTAATATAGTGGATAACAGTGTCCACAATAAGCTCAATGAACTATTTATTATAGAAAGAATTATGGAAACAATTATATAATTCAACATAAAGACATTATTAATTTAACAATTTTTAAACACAACATACATTTTGAAATGCCATCCTCACACAGTAGTGATGCATATATTAATTTCAAAGTATGAGTAATCTGCTTAACATATTATTGCAGACTTGCAATTAATTAAGAAGTTAAATTGTTAAAAGAGCACAACAATCAAAATGCATACCCAGTGATTAGCGCCCTCATAAGGTTCACTTTTTCTTCATCCTGGAATAAAGTACAATCCAAGATATTTTTGTTATATTATTGGTTATAGCATCTAAAAATAATATCATTAATAAAGCATTTAGTTTTTAATAATTATGGTAGTTATCTTACACAAACATGCTGGCAAAAGTTGTGCTGAGTTCTTTGCATATCTGGTTTGATTGGGTTAACTTGCTTTTATTGTGTTTCAATGAGGGAGTGCACCGTCCCTTGGAAGGTGACTTAAGCTGTTGGTCTAATAGTATAATGCAATGTGTACACAAAAAAATGTACACTTATTGGTGTACACTTAATAATAATAATGATAATAATAATAATAATAATATGAAAACATGTGGCAAAGACAAGCCAAACCCAGTCACTCGTTGCAAATCCTGTTTTGGGGATAATGGCCAAAACATACTGGAATTTCAAAATTTTGGAAATCTATTTTATTGCACTAAACTAACCTTTATATATCTATACATCATGCTATGCTGTTATTTTCCTCATTTTCAATGTTAAAACAACAATTTTTAACGATTTGGTGATGGTTTCTGCCTAAGAAATGCCTGAAATCATAAACTTTGAAGGCTGATTTCTCAAATATTGTTCTTTAAACAGCTGTATGTTTTAACTCGTGTCGGATTTAAATGATTCTTTTACCATTTTATAGCTCTTATTTTACAGTTAAACCCTGTATTAATAACTAAAAATTGATTTTTCTGACGAGTGACTGGTTTGGCTTGTCTTTGCCACATATATAGCACACAATCTGCCTCAAAGAAAGAGTACACTCCCTTTGCTTATTTCAGGATAAGATTGCTTTGCAAGACATTTGCTGAAATACACAAGTTCATTAACACTTCCAAAATTGAATCAATGTTGCTCTCTCTATGTGGTCATGTTTACACAGATACTCCACATAAGGTGGTATGCTGGGCTCCAGCAGTTTCCACCTTTGGCCTGTGCCTCAGGGCTAAGCTACCGTGCACCACTGAGGCAGTGACACTCAATAGAGGAAATAGGGTGAAAATAGAAAAAAAAATAACTGTGAAAACAATCTATTCATTCAATCTACTTATTAATAGTGCACTAACCTATCACACTACATGCAGTATGCAAGTAGTGGCGGGTTGAGTAATAATAGTAAAGTGGATCTCTAACACTTACTGTTCTCACAAATATTGTTGATGACAAAGAGAAGGGCAATGAGGTGGATAGTGTTGAAAGTTCTTGAGCGATTCGGAATATCTGAGATGGAAGTGGCTTAGTATGTTTGTTAAGTTGACCCATGTACAAGTTACGACCAATTCCTGTTTCTGTGGGTAAAATGAGCCGAAACACATTTAAAATATCTTGCAATTTTCATATAATGTATTCAATGTTTTAAACTTTATTTTCTTAGCAATTTGATGTCAGTTATTGCAAATAAAAGTAAATTAAATGGTTCTAGTCAAGATGAGTAGCATAAAATTAGAGTAGGTACCTGTTAGCTTCTGGCAGTTGCAGATGAAAAGCTATAAAATATACGAAAGTCTCTAAACTTTAGAATATCATGTTGTTTCTTCTACTGTAGTATTACTGTCTTATTATTATATCACTGATGTATTATTATTATTATTACATCATTGAGGTTCACATTTTGTTATATTTTAGTACAGGGCCACCTTGCAAAGTCACTGAATGGTTATACCCTGTATAAAGAAGCTATGGTGTATATCACATGGAAGTCGTTGCCTCCTCTAAGCAAATACTTACGTGTAAATGTAAAGGGCATAAACTGTAAATGTTTTAAATGCTGAAAATATAATTCTTCCAGGTTCTCATTCATTGAATCCTGTAAATATCAAGAAAACAATCAAAAAATTTATAACATCTTTATGAACTGACCTGGAAATTGCAAGAAAAATGTCATCTAAAAATCAATTGAGGTGTTATTAACAGAAACCAATCATAATTCTTTTATTGTAACTTAGCCACTTTTCTTTCATTTAAGATTTTTTTGCAGTTTAAAATCCTTTATATTAACAAGTTTTGTCTAAAGCTCGACCAAATCTATCAAATTTTCTTTGACAAAATAAACTATTGTATGCTGATATGTGGCACAGACAAGCCAACCAGTCACTTGTCGCAAATGGTGTTTCAGAGATAATGGCCAAAACATGCTGGAATGTCAAACTTGTTGAAATCTATTTTATGGCACTAAACTAACCTTTATATCTATACAAGGCTATGCTATTATTTTCCCCTTTTTCAATGTTAAAGCATCAATTTTAAACGATTTGGTGATGGTTTCTGCCTGAGAAATGCCCGAAATTGAAAACTTTAAAGGCTGATTTCTCAAATAGTTTTCTTTAAACTGCTGTATGTTTGAACACTTGTAACTTCATACGGAAATGTCGGACTTAAATGATTCTTTGACCATTTTATAGCTCTCATTTTACTGTTTAACCCTGTATAAATAACTAAAAACTGATTTTTGCGACCAGCGACTGGTTGGGCTTGTCTTTGCCACATATATAGTCATGGTGTGCCTATATATGGTCAAGATGTGATGTCATCATGACCATATTTAGGCATATCACATTTGTTTGTAAAATAAAACGTGATACTGTGGACATGGCCTAACCTCATCAGAGCTGACAGACACATCTGCTGGCTCACTGCAAATCTGACCATTACAAAGTGAACTATTAGCATTACATAAAACGTCTTCTTTGGAGGCTTTGACATCTTCTTTATTAACTGTATTTTGCGTCTCATGCCTTGTAGAATTTGAAAGATCTTCTAGTTTTGTCCGTACCAGATGGGAAACACAGAGGAATTGCCTAAAAAATATTGAATGTAATTTAAAAAAAAAAAAGCAGTTAGTAATCAAATTAGCCAAGGACTGGCATAGAAAATGAAAGAATCCCTTTGAAATCTGTTATAGTTATAAAAATTGTAATTGTCAGTAAAATTAAATTGAATGCTTCTTTATGATCTCTTCCCGTTAAGCCGTGCACTAACTGCGTCATATAATAGTCGTATGACCATCGATAGACTAATCCAACTTTGCTCCCCTGTGAGTGTTACGACGGTGAGACGCTGTCTGCTGACTGTTGGTAGCAGTCTGATCAGATCATCATTAAAACGATGTTGTGTCAAATCACGTCAGCTGACAGCGACTATCGGCCTCATGAAGTTCCCGGATTTAGTCAAACTCCATGCAATATTGATAATTTCAGTCTTAGTCAAAGTTTTGGTAAGAATGCACTGAATGTCACTAAATAGTATGTTAATTATAATCTCACCGCGCTAAAGTTTCACCAGCAACCGTTGTGTTGTAGTTCTCCATTAGTAACTCCTCCTCTGTCTTTTCTTTCATTTCTTCTGAGTCTATCATTCCACAGGATATTGCCATCATAAGAAGCGATGGTTTGGATCCTTCTTCCACCTTCATTCGCTTAACATCGGTGTCTTTCGGAATGCTGCCATTTCCAATCTTGTCAACATGCTGAAGAACACCTGATGCCTGTGATAAATGTGGACAATGAGAAAGAATGCAGGATTGTACAATATGTTCATAAACATAAAGATGATCCAATAAGTTTTAAATCACCAACAATATACATCTTTTGTCATATCACGCACTACCACACTCAACGCTCTCATTAGATTGGATTTGATTTCTTCAATGTCAAACACCCCATAAGTCACTCTCTGAAGACTGATTTTTTTTTTAAGCTCAGAAATTAAGCAAGAAAAATCAATCTACAGCCTTCAGTAAACAAAGAAATTAAAATAATTGCAAAAGATGAAAAATGAAAATATAAGTGAAAATACTTACGCTACTTTCTAGTACTGATAAATGCTGACTGATGGACCTATCTTGATTAGGTAAATTGCTCAGGAGGCCAACCAATTTAGGTCTTAATGCTGAAAAGGAGGAAGATTTGAACAATGAATTAAGTTAACAACATAATGCTCATTATGTGTTGATTTTTTATCACATGAATTTGGTTGATAAAATGTGTAATGTATCAAAAGTTAAATATTCAATTTATTGCATTATATATTTATTTTTTGTAATAAGCATTTTGAGAATTTTTCCATCTTTGGATTATGTAAACTGTAATAAGTTGCTTTAATTATGAAACTTAAATATGCAAATTAAAGTGGTGCCTAACCACACAAAATAATAAAACTGGTTTAATTAAACAACTTACCAATTTCTTTAATGATGTCAAGAATAACCTTGTACAGCTAAAAGAATAAAAACAAACACAATGAAACTGAAATTAATTTTTCAGTGGTTTTCCTTTTGGTTTGTTAACATACCAATAAACTGAGCATATCTTAATACTGTATACAGTTCTTAAGAGAAGTTCAAGATGTACTATTCCACTATTATAAAAACAGGTATTTGATAAGTTGTAGTTTCAAATAAATATTACATTCTATTTAAACAAAACAAACCAATTTGATATAATTGAAAATATCATGGAAAGTGTAATGCTATGTTAAAACAAATATTATAATTTTGACATATTTATCATATGCGGACAACAGTATCGTTTTTTTTTCTTCATTTACTTACCGATGTGTGCCGACAAATTTCTAGGAATGACACATCCTTTAAACTGGCCTAAAAAACGTAAAACAAGACAAGATATGAAATTTTTATTAGCAAAAATAAAGAACAAAAAAGAATAAATAAGCCATTAAAAAGTCCCATGTATATTGCGAATAATGTTGTGCAAGCTCATATTAGCCTAACCTTAGGCTTTACTTAGTAGGGCCTATCTGGGTCTTTTGGTTTTAGTACATTAATAAATGTATAAACACCCTGAAGGTCCTTTCTGTGATTGGCTGTGATGTAGCCTCAACTACATGAATAATTATCAACCATTAAAAAATACAGCAAGTGCAACTAGTATAATGAACAAAAACATGTAGCATAAATATGGTCATGATGACATCACATTATTACCATATATTTATTTATTTATTCTTTTTTTAATTTGATAGCACTTTCAGTGACACAGCACTGGTTTCACAACTGGATCACATAAAAAAAAATGCAAATCAGAAATAAAAATCAATTGAAAAGATAAAATCAAATGAATAAAAAAATTAAATGAACAGAAAATTAAAAGGATAAACCGAAAAATACAAAGAAAAGAACTAATTTCACTTGGATCAAGGCAAGAGAACATTACTTAAAACCGAAAGGTCCACTCAATCTCAGATAAGATAGTATATTACATACTGCAACTATAGAACATTACTTTGCAATGGAAATGAATAAAAATATTACAAGGTTTTGATTAAGTTTTTAAATGTATTCAGTTGAAGGAGCAGCTTAGCTCAGTCGGCTTATCTGGTGGTAGCCAATGTGTGTGCGCTGAACCGTGGAGATCTCTAGGTGCCTGGTTCAATTCCCATCGCTGCCTCTCCTTGTGTTTCAGCTGGAGGGCTGAAATACAAGTTTCAATAGCGCACCGTGTTTCCGAAGAGACGTTTAAGCCGTTGGTGCTGTGTGCATAACTGGCCCATGTGCATGTTAAAGAATGCAGTACACTCTTCAGAAAAGAGTAGGGGATTGTCTCCTAGTGTACTGCCAAATCACCATTAGAAGGACCCCACTGGAAATAAGTTTGTGTTTTTCCTTGGTGTTTACACCAAATAAATCAAATCCAATCCAATCATTAAAGTTTGATATAATTTCGTTTGGAAGCTCATTCCATATCTTAGTTGCACGGTATAAAAATGTTCTCTCGTCACATCATGACTATATATGGGCACATGATGACTATATATATGGGCACATGATGACTATATATGGGCACATGACTATATATGGGCACATCATGACTATATATGGGCATACAATATTTTTGTGTCAAAGGAAACTTGATGGTGTGGACAGAGATTAATACAGCGCCCTCTATAAATTCTCTTGCAATACTGCCCTCTATAAATTCTCTTGCATTACTGCCCTCTATAAATTCTCTTGAAATACTGCATGGTTTTTTGGTCAAATGAATAAAAGTATAAAATTGTACCTCCATGAACGTTAACAATGCTGAGCCCTCAATTATTGCATAGAGATCTGTGAGGGAGACTGTTTGTGTCTTGTCTTGCCCCTCGGATGACTCTGACAGCAGCTGGATAGAGCAGATGTTTCGAAGCTGTACCACAATTTCATTTAACACTGCAACAATCTGTTTATCTTTCTCCTTCTGTGCAGCTATAAAAGCTTGGATATCCCAACCTGGTCAAAATAATCATAATTTACATAAGCATACTCAGTACACAGCAGTGTATACATTAGCTCAGTTCATATTTACACATTTATACATCATGTGTAATAGTAATTTTGTTTCGAGGTAATTTTAATGCCAAGGATTTTTAACACATATTTTACCCTTGTGTTGATTTTTTAGTAAATAAAAGCTCTATTAGAAATTTCCCCACATTAACAAACAAGTGTACAAATATTTGCTGTTTAATTATAATAAAAATTCTAGAATATAAAAGAAAATCACACTTGTACACATTTCAAAACCATGAAGATGAATAAAATGTTGCGATGAGTTGAATATTTGAAAATCTTTTACCAGGTCTATTATTGTGCCCATAACCAATTCCTTTTTGCCAGTATTCATTGCCTCGTTCCTACAAAAAAAAAAAAAATAAATAAATAAATTTTCTTTTAACACAAAATAGAAAGTGTCTATGTTTAGTTAATTAACTTGACTATTGGATAGAGAATCAACCAATCAAAATGCAGCCTCCTCTACTCCTGTTGAAAAGTCTATTTTATACCATGGAGGTATTATTGAAGAGATCACTTGTAAAAGCTCCGCACACGCAGTGCAATGCAAGTGAGTCAAGAACAAAGCTGCAGCAGAACGTTGACGCGAAGCCTTTGAAGTCTAATGTGTTCCCCGTCACCAAATGTTCAGCAGGCTTAGTTTGCCTAGAAATAGAACATGGCAAAATAGAGAGCACCTTCTTTTTCTCAATGCGCACTACTTACAGTCAATAACTATATCTGCACAATCGTGTTTAATTAAAAGCTAATACATTTATCTTTTAAAATATACCAAACATGTTAATAATTTCTACAAAAAAAGTTTCGAATTTAATGAAACATTTACATGAGCTTTTAAAGTTTGGTATATTTCAACTCGAATTTTCATAAATTGGATAAAACTTGATGATTTTCATTTTAACAGATATTAATTAAGGAATGATAATAATAATGATTATAACAAACTAAGTCATTTTATTGTGAATTAGCGTTTTAATCTGAAGTGAGAGTCAGAGTAATTTGTAGTTTTACGCTGCCGCAGATTTATAATCAAACCAGTCAATCTTTAGACAACATTATAGTCAACACAAGACTAATTGCAACAGAAATATTTTGCAGATTCTTTTCCAGAAATATACACATGATAACATACTAAAAGATTGAAAAAAATTATGCATGGGAACAATGCTAATTTTAAATATATTTAATGAGTTAATTTATCACACAATTCCTGTGTTGAGGCTTATAAAAGCCTGTTGTTGCCAAGTAGTTGCTAATGAAAAAAATGCTAAGATACATCTCTGCGCGTGATCCAAAGGCGGGGAACACATTGGTTTGTCAAAGGGATCTGTTGCCGAGTGATCTCCTTCTCAATTAATACCTCCATATTTATACTCTGGTTGAAATGAAACAAACACGCATAATTCTCTTTCCAAGGGCATATGGTGATCAGAATTGGGTCGAATTCAGCACCATTTGGTTGGAAGCGTTAGCCTTACTGCTATACTACTAATTCTTGAGCATATATTGGCATACTGGTAAAGTAGCAATGTTATAAATGCCATGTGTGTGAAGACTGTGCGTAATTTCATCAATTCAACAAAGATACGTAACTGGCTCTGGCAAATCCAGCCATTTTGCGAGAAAAATTCAAAATCAAGTTCAAGTTCAAATTTATACACCTTTTAAAGAAATCCAGCAAGATACACTTTTATAAAATGAATAAAAGCAAACGGTAGGGAAAAATGAGATGGCTACCCTAAGTGAGGTGCCCGAGCAAAAATTTAAAAAAACTAGTTTTCCAGTATGTACTTTTGCTCATGAAATGCTGAATGTCACTCATGGCTGAGGAGAAATGCAGGCACAGTAATCTCTCTAACTCAGCGAAAGTAAAGGAATGATATTTTGTGAATAATACATTTGAACCAAAAGTAAATGGCCTCCTTCATTAAGTTTTAAATTAGGAATTAGCTTTTTGGAGGATTTATTTGTGATTGATGATGCTTAATATAAACAAGACAGTCACTGGAAAAAAAAGTATTGAATTGTTACCCCTTACCCCTGGTCGATCACTACTACAGAAACTCTTTCCCCTTCTGGATCCTTGATGACGACTGCGTAGGTAATTTATCTCATTTGCCTGCCGTGATATTTCTGACTGTAACAGCTTCACAAGAGTCTCTCGCTCTCGTAGACTCTCCTCAAGTGATTTCTCATCGTCTGCTTTTTTTGCTTTTGTTTGGGTCTCCTTAGAAACATCTGGAATAAGGAAGTTTACTAGTTTATAATGAAAGCTCACTCAATACATCTACAACACAAAAATGATAAAATAGAAAAAAGTGATGAACCATTATCATAACCTCAAACATGAAGCTGTCTCTTATACACATCTAGATGTGTATAAGAGACAGGTCATATAGAGGTGCCTAACTTTGGAATGAAATAAGCAATGATGTTAAAAATGTTAGGAAATTGTCCTTATTTAAAAAGTATATAATTGCAACATTGTAATAACACTTATAACTGTTAATGGTAGTTTCTAAAATAAACTACAGTATTTTTATTTTGTTTGAGTTTGTTTAGTGTAATTAAGTTAGCTTAAGATTTAAGTCTAGTTTAGATATTTGTTTGTTTAAACAATTGTTTGATTTGTGTATTTTAAGTAATTTTTTATTTTTTTATTTTCTGGTTAAATTGTTGTATACACGGCCTTGCAGAATAACAACTGTTAGTTGAGCCAAGTTTGCCGTAAAAGTATATAAAATAATAACTAGAAATTGCAAATTGCAAGTGAAGTGCTGCGAAGTACAACTACATAAAATGTTCTTCGAACAAAATTATTTATGCGAGTCAAGTGAAAATAATGAATAATAAAAATATAACAAATAATATGAGCACGACCCAATGTCTATATTAGAACAGCGTTGGTATCGTGTACAATAGTGTTTTGCTGCAGTGACATACATCTCTCTGATGGCGACTCGCTGCTGCTGGCGATGACTCGCTGCTGGCGAATCGATCTGCGCATGTGTATAAAATGGTATTTATTTCCGAAAACACTATGCCAGTCTACAACAAGCATCGCCTAAATGTAATAATTAAGCCGATTAAACCTAGAAATAGGAAACCTAGAAATATAGTAAAAACGCTGAATAGTACTCCAGCGTCGCGACATGCAGACGTTGGTACGAGTAGGTTAGTCTACAAACGTCGCCTAAAGTAATTGATTTTACCCGGCAGAACGAAAGAAGGAAACTCCGCTTTTCAGTTGTCTTAGGCGATTGTTTTTTGACAAACAATGACCTTTCAGAGGTCAAATTGCTGTCAAGAATATGAATTGGCTGCTTCACAGCAATAAATGGCCATTGCATATTGCATGGACAGCCTCTTTGTGCTTTAAGGCAGTGGCTATCGGCACTGCCGCAGTGGCGGTTTGGCACTGCCGCAGTGCGAAAAAGCTGCTGTTTACTAACAGCACTGCCGCAGTGTGAAAAAGCTGTTTCCTATTGGCACTGCCGCAGTGCAAAAAAGCTGCTGTTTTCTATCGGCACTGCCGCAGTGCGAAAAAGCCGCTGTTTTCTATCGGCACTGCCGCAGTGCAAAAAGCTACAGTTAATTAATCGAATCAATGTTTTTATCGATAGATGGCATTATAGTACATTTGTATTTATAATTGATTAGGTCTAGCTTAGCCTTTGTTATTGTTAACATTATATTATATATGTTTTACAATTATTTATAATTATTTCTAATTAAATTATTAAATATATACATTTTATATTATACAGCCTAGGCATATACATAAAAAAAAAAAATTATAATAATTTTAAAATAGTTTGATTTATGAGATAATAATAAATTAGCATAGGCCTATTAAATAAACTTGCGTCTATGCAAAACCTGCTTTTAAATAAAAATGTTATCTATTTTATTCTGTTTTAAGAAATAAACTTATAAATTATAAGTTTATTTTCTGTGATAATTTTATCCACATAATTCATGTTTTCAATGTTACTATGGTTGATAAATAATACATAAAATAATAATAATATTAATAATAATAATTAGAATAATAATAATAAAGGTGCTTTAATAAAGAATTAATAATACTTCAATAGGCCTATTTACAATAGTGTGATTAATGATATAGTGCCTATTTGTTGATTAATTTATAGAAATATATAATAGGTATATACCATTAATAATGATATTAAATCAACTTACGTCTATGTAAAATCTGGGTTTTTTCCCCCAATAAAATGTTATCTATTTTATTCTGTTTCAAAAAATAATCTTCTTAATTATTATCAAGTCATTGTAAATTCTATGATAATTTAAACCACATAATTGATGTTTTCAATTATTTAAGCATTAAAACAATTCAGTGGGCCTAACACTGGATGTAAATGTAAAACAAAACAAAATCAAATGCTGACTTTGCTGATGAATCAGTCAAGGGTGTAAATGGGAGGGTCATTTCAATTTTTGAGGACCCAGAAATAAATATCTCTTTAAAAAATCAATGGGTATAATTAAAACCTTGTATAACAGTTTGTCAAGGTCTGGAGTAGGGTGTAAATCTAAGGACCATTAAAAGGAAAACGTCCCAGACCACACATTTTGGAAACAGATCAACTGATCTGAATGAAACTTTCGGGAAAGTTTAACCAAGTTACAAGGAAGATAGTATTATGTGTTGGCAAATTAGTCAAGGGTGTACATTGGAGGGTCATTTTAATTTTTAAGATCCCAGACGTAAATAACTATAACAAGTTTTCAATGAGTGTAAATGTAACTTTCTATAATAGTTTGTAAAGTTCCATTAAAGAAATGAAATTTTTGTGATGATCCGGTGTAGGGTGTGAATATGAGGACCATTTAAAGAAAACATCCCAGACCAGATATTTCAAAAACGGATCACCTGATTCGAATAAAACTTTCGGGAAAGTTTAACCCAAGTTACAAGGAAGATATTACTATGTGTAGGGGACGATCCAGGTTAGGGTGTAAATTTGAGGGTCATTTAAATTCCTTGCGTCCCTGTTATCGATGGATAAAAATGACACTTTAAAATTGGAGCTTTTTTCGCACTGCGGCAATGCCGATAGAAAATTAACAGCTTTTTTCGCACTGTGCGGCAGGGCCGATAGAAAACAGGAATTTTATGGCACTGCCGCAGTGCCGATAGCCTCAGCCGTGCTTTACATAAAAAATAATTATAAACATCCAGTAGTAATGCTATATGATGTTAAAAGTAAAAATAACAATAATAATATTTAATCAAAGTATGCCTAGATAGGACAAACAAGAAGCACAAGCACTTAGCTCTCATCATCATAAATCAAAACCTTAAAGGACTTTCAGAAACACACTGTAAACTACATCACAATAATCAATTGAGGAAATCTCAACAATAGTTGAATGAGAGTGCAATGTAAAAATGCAAGGCTTCTGTTTAAAGTGTCCAGGCACATTGAAATGATTTAGCTTCATGTTCAGGATATCTGAATCAATAATGCTGTAGTACACTCACCAATGCCAACTTAAGTAGATCATGTTCTATATCAGTGTAGGATCCCTGACAGTAAACCTTTGGGTCATTTCTTGGACTTTCAACATCCACTCTAAACATGAAACAAAATGCATGCTGTAATCAGGAATCACAATGACAAAGCTATTTACTCTGTGGTTGAAGATTCTCCAATAAAAAATTCTGAATGCACTTGGTAAAGCAGAACACTTAATAACAACTGATGGAGTAGAATCCTATGATATTAAATTTAAAAATTCTCCTATAATTATTATTATGTTATTTGGTATTATTTTATAAAAATAATAAAAAACATTATTTTGTTGAAATTGAGGTACTTGTTTATTAATAGAAAGTTGACAATAAAAGGAAAAAGGAAATTATAAAAAAAAAAGCTTCGCAAAACAAAGTATTAAAAAGTCTGGGCTTACCGTGCCCATTTTTCCAAATATTCTCTAATTTCCGTTAGCACTGTCTTCATATCTTTTGTTGGATTCCTGAAATTATCGGAGAATAAATGATAGGAACAAAGTTGTTTTCTAAAAGAAAACAGATCTTTAAAAAAACTACAAAAATATTATCTTTAAGTGCATTTTTATGTGAGATGAAAATGAGCAACAAAAACAACAATAATGATGATAATAGCAGTAAACATAATAGTAAAGGTGTTAATTTAAATGCAAATTTACCAAACATATATTCAATGCAGACAAAAAAAACCCCCCAAAATATAATTATTATAAATATATATATAATTCCTTGTGATAAACCACTTGTATGACCAACTATTAAAGACAGCTGGAGCAGTCCGCTACCATCCAGCATTGGTGGAAACCCTTCACAGATTCTGACGAAGCCTGACTGATAGCCAGGCGAAACTGTCAACAACAAAAAACAGTAATAATTGGTTTACCACAAGGAATTATACATATTTATTACTATTTGAAACCAGATGAAACTACTGTATTTACCCATATAATCATTATTATTTTGAGTCATTCTTTGTGAGAATATTTGGCTACCACCCATGAAAAAAACAAGAAAATAAAAACAATGAAAAATTATCAATGATAATGTTAATGCTGTCCTGAATTATGAATTAATCAATTTTTATATATTGTGTGAAATGGTATCAGACTAATTATTTACCGAATTGAAATGATTGGTAGAAACAACAGTTTTAATATTAACTTAGATATAATGCACTATATTAAATTATTATAATGTAATATCCACAGGCTGTCATTTTAAATGTTAGTATTGTATTTCTCTACAATATACATTGTGTAAATTTAGACAACTATGTGCTGCCATTGGAAGGCGCCAATGTAATTGTGGACAAATGAGTTAAAGGTAATTAATATTTCATAATCTACATTAGAAAGATGATAGCATGTTCACTCACCAGTATGACAGTTTCAATATATCCAGGTTTGACACGCGCTGCATCATTGAATCCTAGTACATACAAAGGAAGACATCAGAGAAAATATCATCATGAAGGTGTAAGAAACAACAATAATAACAGCAATAAAAGTTCTTCCATGCCTTTAATGCTTATGACTACTTGAAGGCTAAGGATGAAGTAATAATGCTGGGTGAAAGTTGCAATATTACTTTAAAAAATAATATCAAATAAAGTGACAATATCAAAAACACTTATAGAATAATATAATGATATTAATATACTAATGGTATCCTACCCAAATCAGTAATATCAGTTTAACACAACAACTTATTAGCAGAAGTCCTCACAAAGCATTATAATAAACATTCCATTAAGAATATAAAAATGAATAAAAATCAGAATAAATGAATGAATGATGATGAACCATTAAATAGGATTAATTATGCACTTGTATTGGATCAGGTGCGATCCATGGACCGCGGGTATGTAGCCGAGGTTGAATATCTTCTTAATGTTTTAACCCTAACCATAACTCATTGCAGAAGATATTTGACCTTGGCTACATACCCGCGGTCCATGATCGCACCTGATCCCTTGTATTGACAATCATATGTAAGCTTATATACTAATACCAGTATTTTTTCTTACATGTAATATAACTTAAATAACAATTTTTGTATCATAACATACTAATCATCTTGCATGCAGAACAAATATCTCCTACATTTTGAGTTATTCTTGACTAGCTACTGTAAGATAAGATAAGATAACTTTATTGTTCCACAAGGGAAATTCTTCTGCTCGTCATCACATATAATATTATAAAATGGTAAGAACCAGCAACAGTACACCCATGCCAGGTATATTAATTTCATTATTACAATATCTTATAATGAACACATAAATAACAAAACAAACAAGCAGTGATGTTGTTAGTATATAGCTACGTAAAATTCAATAATTTTGCATATTTTTTGCTTTTTGTGTGACCTGTAGTCTGTGTGCACTGACCTATAATAGTAATAGGAAGCTTTTGATTGCACGACGACGGTAGGACGTAGAACGTAATGACGTCACTAAAAGTCATCTGCACATGCGGCATTCACCCTGAAAAGATCACATTTTGTAACTTGGCAGTTGTAAATAAAATGCTTTCCTTATGATACCAGTATCAACCAATGAGGGTGAGCCAGCAAATAATGAGATTCTCAGTGGTAGCAATAAATGAATATAACAATACATTTAATCTATTCATTATATTTTGCAATATAATGATAGATAAGCACCAAAATATAGCAAGAGATTTAATCTATTTATTATATTCTGCTAATGAAAGCATGTTTTACAGATTAAAGTACACAAATCAATCGTGGTAAAGTAAAAGATGTCATTAAATATAAAACTAAAATTAAATTAAACCAAAAATCGAAGGAAAATAAACAGTGATCTTCTTGCCATAGCCAACAAAGAAACACAATGTTGTGTCTCGTGGCTCAAGCTTTAGGCTTATCCTAGTACGAATGAGCTCCTTCAACGAACAACGTCGAATAGCGAATAATGACGATTTTTAGGCAGACAATTCCAGGGTCAAACTTTTCTATTTTCTTCGAAGGGGTGTTCCGTTTTAGGAACAATGGCAATTAGTCAGTTTATCCAGGTAAGTATTCACGAAATAGACTAAAATATTGCCTATAGGTATTTTTGATACTATACCAACAACATAGTTTGTATTCAACAAAATATGGGTCAACAACCTTTTTTTAACCTATGGGGAGGGGGGTCAGTAGGCCAAAGAGAAATTGTATACCTGCAGAGGGGGATGAGTGGGGGGTGCTCCTTGATGATGAAGGCAACGACACATTCAAGCTATGACTGGGCGAGGCATTCAAACTAGATACCTGCTTCTTCATCGCTTCTCTGATTTCTATCTCTTTCATTGCCCAATTTTTCTGTCAATGAAATGCCATGAGCAATGAAAATGAAAACTATAGTGGTGGTGTTAGGGGAAGTAAGGGAGGGGGGAAATTGTCAGAAACAAAAAATTCACACTCAAGTAGTTAAAACACCCCAAAATTGGTCGGTGAAGCAGAATTATGATGTATCATTAATATAATAATCACATACTAATATTTTCGTTCAGTTAAATTTCAAATTTGAGTGCTTTGTATGCAGTGAAATGGTGTGGTATAATCATGTCAATGACAATTATGATATTAAAAAAATTGTGGTCATAATAATGTGTTTACTCTTCCCCTGTGTACACGACTAGTGGATATTCTGTAATATAATTATAAGAATCAACAACTTACTCGTAGTTTTGTAACTTGCAACTCCCAGTCTGTTGTGAAGTATGAGTCATCATCCAGCATTGTCAAATCCTGCTGTCAATCATATACAAATTGGAATACATATTAGATACTAAAATAAGTTTGGTTTTGTCCAAAGAATTTTTCCTAACCACAAGAAATTATATTCGTTTAAGCTTATTATATATTAGGCAATAATTGTAATGAAATGATAGACCTATATTAATTCATAAGGTCATGTGACTCAATTTAAGCCAATCACAGGGAATCAGTGGCATTAAACACCTATGAGCACTCACTGACTAAAGCCAGGGCTCCAGGCCTTAAAGAGTCCTGGAATAGTAATCAGCAAATGAGGCCACAAATAAGGTGAGTGTGGCCCTTAAGGAGTAGAACGTGTCCAGAATTCATCTTATATAAATCTTACATCATCAGTAGGATTCATTTCATCTTCATCATCATCAATTTCTGTAGCTTCTTCTATCCAGTCTCTCTGTTCCATTTCTGTAGCATCTCCTATCCAGTCTTTTGAATCTGTAGCCTCTCCTATCCAGTCCCTCTGTTCTAATTTTGTCAGCCTACAAGGAGTAATCTTATGTAAACTCAATGCCTTGTCTAGGACATCTGTCAGGAAAAGTTTTCTTTTACAATCTTTAAGGAACTGAAAGAAAAATGATTTATTTTACATGTAAAATGACACTTGCTTTTCATCGGGCACAAAGATGAGAGTTTCCCTAATGGCTGTATATAGTCATGATGTGCCTATATATGGTCATGATGTGATGTCATCGTGACCATATTTAAGAATGTCATATGTTTTTGTCAAATAAAATTTGAAAAAAAAAAGCCATGTTGAAAGTAAGGTTGTAGGATGAAACCATTCAGCTTTTGGGTAATAGTGTGGAGGGGGAAGTCTATAATAGCCATTTATTGACTCTGCAAGGCTGTTTCATAGCGATATAAAGTCATGTCCCCTCTATTGCGTAAACGCGTAGAATTAGTACGTGCAAGTGTTAAAATACAAATCTGGAAGTAAACAATTCATCACTTTTTGCTTACGGCTGATAAATCATCTATCCTTTGCCAGCCAAGTAGAAGGTAAGAAAAACTTTAAAGTCATGAATAAACATGAGGAATGTCACCCACATTGTTGTTCTTCATAGAATACATATTTTCACGAAATTTTGCGGACAATGTTACTATGGACTATCGTAAAGAACTTCATGAAGTAGTTGCATGGAACGTGCGTGCCTCCTATTTTAATAAAGAGCCGTTCTAAGTGAAACAGTATGCAGTGAAACAGTCGTGTCTGCAATGGATCAACATTGGAACATTGTAGTTAAGAGTAAAGTACAGTATTTAAGAGTAGTTAAGCCTAGGTTAAGGTAGTTAGGGACGTCCTGGGTATGACATTATACTCCATCCGATCGAAGCGTCTGCGACTAAACTGACAACCCTCTCAGAAATGTCTTAGTGGCTGCTGAGGGGAAGGTGTATATGGTCATCCAGCAGCAAGAAAAACCAATAGCTGAACAAAGGGCAAATGAGCTCCTCCGAGTTAACGGCCAACCATTAATTAGTTTAAGGAATAGCCTCATTGTTATTATTATTTTTATTTTATAGTTATTATTTTATTGTTATTTGTATTTTCTCTACTTGTAACACAAAAACTATGAAAATACTCCCAAAATACACTGTCTGCCTTGCTTCTAATAATTTAAATTTATATTAACATGGCTATAAACACTATATGATCATGTTTCACTACAGTTATTAACTTACAATAAAAATTAATGAAAGAAAAACTTGCTGCTTAAGCCTGTAAATAGCTAAAAATCAACTTTTTTGAAGAGTGACAGGTTTGGCCTGTCTTTACCACATAATTGTTAATCTTGCTTTCTATACTAGAAATATATATCATCGAATTGTGCTAAAAATGTCATTACCTGGTTCAATGATTTTTCCCAGTTGGACTTGTCTTGTCCAGCATCTACAATGAACCTACTCAAAGCGTTATAGCCTGGATAGCCTGAAAAAATTATCAATAATATATAAACACAAATTAGACCATTTCCCCTTATGTTACTCTTCTAGTAAGCATCTTGTCACGATGGTTAACTAAATCTCACATCCACTAAATCTTCGCTGTTTGGTACTGTTTCGTCTCGATTAATGCTTCATTTGATAAAGAAATAAAACATCTGCAGCTTTTTCAGAACAGGACAAAATCGCATCTGCACAATCTTGCATCACTAAATGTCACATCAAAAAAACTGAAACTCACAATACATCCCTTAAATCTCAAATACAATAACCTCACTATCACTAAAAACCTCATCTCCTAAACCCCATATCTATTAAATCTCACTAGTCTGTGAATATGCAAAAAGTGAATTCTTTTGAAGAAACTGAAGTTGGCAACTTATCTGTTCACTCTAAGTTACCAAATTAATTCAATTATAATCTAATTTTTTAGGGGTTTTTAGATTGTTTCATACTTCATAGAGAACATAATTAATTAATTAAGAATAATTTGAGATTGTTGCCAACTGTACCTTTTGGGCAAAAGAGCTGAAATTCATGTTGTCCAGCTAGAAGCAGGTTGAGGCATACACACCCTGATTTATCCTCAGTGCTCTGTGAATAAAAGGTGCAAATAAATTTATTAGATTTGTCCTTTTCAAACATTAGTTAGAAACAGTGAAAAAGTGAAAAACAAAATTGCATGCTATTTAAAATTGTTCAAAAGTGTAAGTACAAATCCTTTTTCTGTTTAATTTCTGCTTTTTACGTAAGCACTAGTAAGAGTGTTAGGTGAGGAAATCAATGGATCCGTAGTCCTCAAGGACCTCCTTTTGTAAAGGGACCACTGTATATCTTGTTAATAAAAAAAAAAAAATTAATAAGATACTCTAGGTTCAAAAACATGCATGCTTGTATTTGTTTGCATTGCCAGTCACACTGACCAAATACATTAGAGGGTGCAGTGAAGTGACAAATTCAATTCTAAATTGGGAAGTGATAAGGTATATATAGCAGTAGTATAGTTGTATTATTTTTATACACACTGATATGCATAAGACTAAGACAGTTAAGAGACAGAAAAAATACTTTACACAGCATTTTTTTTTGCACTGCCTGTCTTAAAATTGTTATCATGAATTACAGAGATTTTGGGTATTTAAAAGAGTGAACTTCATAGGCCTAGAGCTGGAGAATCCATGCGATACAATATGATTTGCTTTAACTGAAGATTTGGAATGCAAAGGGTTGCTAAAGCCCATCATCAATTTGTATACCTTGACATATCTACATTTAATAGCTTGAATTAAACTCCATTTGTGGAGGTGATGAGACACAAACTCAAAAGAAATAATAATCAATTTGAATGTAAGATAAAGATGATGGGACAATACATTCAGCTCATATAATATTCTTTTTAGGCCTAGACCTAAATATTACAGTATTATAGTATTTTAACAAATGATGTATTTTTGTCTATTTTTGACTTAATGGATGCACATCAAAACAATTTTTTAAACAATTAAAAACAAATTTAAATTGTATTGTGTTTTCCATTTTTAAATAGGCCTAGCCTGTTCACAAATTTTACAATTATATTGAAATTAAAGCAAACATAGCATAAAGGGCAAATGAATGCGATCCACTTACTCAGTCAAAAGTCAACTCGACCACAATATATCATCACTAATTATCAATTTAAAAAAATCCATATCATTGCTGTTCACTGGAATAATTTGTTCCTGTAACCTAATCTGTGTCACCGATATATAATTATACAATTACTTAATTCCAATCATATTGAAGAAAAGTATAGTACGCAAAACACAATATTTACAATTCACTTAATAAATTAGGTAGAATAAATAGATACCTTCCTTTAACTGGATACTTAATTGATATTGTTCTTTCTTAATATCCAGTTAACAGTTAAAACATGTTTAAAACATAAAACAATGTTATGAAATTTATACAAAAACCAATGAAAATTTTTACATTAAATTAAAGTTTTGAAGGAATGCAAAGTTAAAAAATTTATTGATTGTATTATTTTTATAAATAATTTGTGGCTGAGTTAACTTGTGGCCGAGTGGGCTTGTGGGCAATTTGACTTGTGACTGAGTTGACCTAGGGCCTACTTCTATAGAGTACGACAGTTGTGTTGTCACGACGCCAGGGGGCGCTCTCTCTGTTGTCAACGGACATAACCGTTCATTACGCCTGAATGACTTCATAGGCTTTCTGGAATAGGCATATTAAAATCCAATATTTTACCATCAAAATGTACTAAAAACACAAAAGCTCACATTCTATTAGTTATCGAACACAAATTTAATCATCAATTAAAATTAACAAGGAAAAAGTAAGATACAACATCTTAATAATCATGTTAGAAATTGGGATCAATGGTTTGTCAGTGTAGAAAATGGCGTCCGGTTGAACGCTTTTTTGCAACGATCGCAACAGAGTAGTATCACATGGTATCATGACGTAACACTGTAGTACTCTAGTATTACTATCAGTAATAATATCTCACCATATCACTGATCAGCGCTCTCTTCATAGCCTGTATAAGACATACATTTATCAGATATCGTAATGACCCAGGCCTAGGTTGACCTAGTTCTTTGATTTTATTCGTAGACTACTGTACAAAAACCGTGCAAGATATATCCATACTTTGAAGGTAGCATACTAACAAACAAAAGCAGAGAACATAGGCTATTCTCAAGCTCTTGCTACGATAGATAGGGCTCTTCTCATAACATAGCATAATCTCCCTCTGGACAGATCCAGCCCAGAGGGGAGTCCTTCAGAACGCAGTGAGGCCTGGGCCAACATGCGCATCGACACAGCAGAGCTCAAACATTCATATGCATAATACAACTAACTAAACAAATATTACAAATACGTACATCAATCATTATTATAGTCTCAGTAGGGTCTTTTGTGAGTCCATTCCATGTCTGAAATTCTTCTTCTAACTTGGACTTCTCATCCAAAGAATTCGGGCAAGCCGCCATCTTCAACATTAATGTGAAATAATTTTTGTTGTTGTTGTAGCGCCCTCTTGTGATGGATGATGAAAAACATTTAGGAGGAATGGACGACCACACTCGCTCAGAACCAAAATTAACGACTGACCAATCAGAAAAGCCCAGGAACACGCGCAAGTCCCACAAACACAAGTACAGTACGCTGTCGTTTTGTGTGCTTTTTCGAAAAAATATCCATAGGGCGGGGATTAATTGAATGGTCTACTGGAACCGGTAATCAAGCCCGATTTTGATTGAGTAATAGTCATAAAGAAAACACTGAAAATAGAACAACACAAATCCTACTACTTAAAGTAATAATTCCCAGGGGCGGGCGGGCGGCCTGACCCTGGTTATTCGCAGGTGGCTCATGGTTTTGTATGCATGTGTTAGTTCTGCAAGGTATTCATTGAACAGCATGCTGTTTCAATTCTATTTGATTTCGCTTTAATAACTGAAACATTAAAATTGCTCACACATTTTGGCCCGAAGTCTAATTATAAAAAGAATGATTTAAGCTAGTATATAAAAAATAAACATAACACAGTGGAAATCTGACAATATAAATTAAACAAAAAATACCAATATAGAAAAAAACCCGTTCGTGAGCATCTATTTGAAATTATGGGAAAATAACCACCTCGTCTATTGTTTTATTGAATATATATACTTTGATATATATATTTAACCCCTGTCTCTTATACACATCTTATATATATATATATATATATATATACATACAAATATATAAATGTATATAGGGCCTATATATAAATACATAATAAAGTAATTATCATCATCATTATGATGATGATGATAATGATGATGATCAACAATCATCATAGTTATCTTCAATATCATAACTAATCTTAAACTCATCATCATCAAAAAGAGTTGTTAATATAATTATTTACAGTACTATAATATTATAATTAAATCCACCTTTCCCGACAAATAGGAGATGAGTAAAAATAACAAAATATTTTGGATAATTACTCTTTGTAGGTTAATGGTCTCCCAGCCAGAGAACTGCCTCAGAATCCGTAGTTCAATTCAAATAAACATTTATTTCTTCACACGATATGATAACAAAAGATAAAATTAAACAACCCGCCGGATTTCATTAAAAAGAAAAATAGTGTGATAGAGGGCACTGTTCAAAAAAGTATACACGCCAAATTACAAAAGAAAGACCATTTATCACACTTAATGGCTATGGCACTTATAATGGACCTTTCCGCTAAGCTCCGCCCCTTGGATTTTGTTGCTAAGGCCCCACAAGACGGCAGTGTTAAAACATACGCGAACACGTGCGTTTGTGGGACAACACGTGTGTTTGTAAGACGCGTGCGTATTCCTAGCGTTGTTCTGATTAGTCAGTTGTGAAGTTTGATTGACACTCCGGAAAGGTCTATTACGAAGTGTAGGCATTGACTATGAATTCAATACGAAACAAGTACAAAACACGAATACAACACAGAGCAAATAGGGGAAGTGAAGAAATGATTAAGAAAAACATTTGTCAATAATGTAGGCCTAAGGGTATTAGAAAAATAAACTTTGATTTTGATTTAATTTAAATATATTTAGATAAGAAATATTTCTTGACCTTAGTTCGCACAAGTGGGTTATAGATCCATTCGACAATTCACTAGTTAAAATGCGGGAACAAATTACAAAGTATACTGCATACTCGTCTATAACAATGGATTTACTAATACATGTAGAAACTGTGTTAGAAGTGAGTCGAGTACAAGGACAAGTTTCTCGAAAATGTATGGCAAAGCAATCAACGAAACACTACCGGAAAGGCCCTGTCCGATGTCTTCAAAATAGACATTGGGAGAATTATTAGAGAGCGAAAAACAGGTAAGTTTGTGTGTATCTATATCTAAATTCTTAGTAGGTTTTATACAGAAAAGAAATTGGCTGAATTATAATTAATTATGCATTGTTTACTAAGAAAAAAAAAACGATTATAGATTTGTCGTAATTCATTATGTATCTCGTATGGATAAAATACAACTGAGCATTATTTGTTGTTCAGCAATACAACCCACAGTAGGCCACGTTGCTTTACGTCTCTGTTTTTTTTAAATTTTATACGTCAGCTTGCTTTTACAGATCGGTCTGGCACAAAATTTGTTTTATCTCTTTTGGTCGATGCCTTCTCCCACTTTTATTGTTTTTAAAATGTATTTCAATATATTAATTCAACTTTGAAAGAAACAAAATTAAATACCAACAATAATTGATTGCCATTTTTTAGGATTTTGTCCAGTTGTCGATGTTATTAATTGTTTCATTTTATTATTTTTATTAATAATAATGGTATTAATATCGTAGTATTTGTGTTGTTGAATTTGAAATATTACACTGGTCCGTGGATTGTTGTAAGGATACATGAGTGTTACCACCCTGTAATATTGTAACATGTTTACGGTTTTAGTAGCCACCCAGTTAAATACTGTAACTGTATTATTTTTTAACTTGAAGCTCGCCCTCTCCATGGTAACATCAGCATACTTTATATTAGCTAATATTTATTTAAATTAAAATCATATTTTAAGAAAAGAAATCATCCAACAAAGCTGACCATATTTTGCACCCATGTTTTGTTCAGTAACTGGAACCTATTTAATTATCGTTTATCCTTTTATTTAGGACTGACCTTGGCAACATATTTGTCGGACTGCTAGAAATCATTGGAGACAATGGTACGTATGACATGGAATTTGAAATGGAGATTTCGCAATCTTCCTGTTGTCTTTGAAAAAAAAAATGAAAAAAAGAACCTTACGTCATTATCATTATCTTCATTCGTGCCTAAAACGTTATTGAAAATATGCTGTACGAGCTAAATATGATCCATTTGATTCATGCAATATATATGATTAGTTAAACTCAGTGGTGATCAATCGCATCTTTTTAAGTCATAATAATGTTGATCTTTCGTCTTTTAGAAAATGTACATTTTGAAGATCGCTGTTCTGTTCGCATTTGCCGTTGACCCGGTTCCCGCTCCGTACTGCCGAGCTTTTCCTCATTGGCAGGTTTGCTTTGCTGCGAATCAATTGGCAGCCGACTACAACATCAAGAGAGTGAGATACACGATCAACGTCAACGAAGTTAATGAACCTGGAAACAAATTCGTTTGTTGTTTCGCCATCTGTTGCTACGACGACTCAGGATGTGGTATTCACTGGCCGTTCTTTAACCCTGTCTGTGGGGTATCGTCGCTAAACATAGGTTATTGCAATGCATGGGAACTCGATTATAAGCCTGGAATAATGTGCTTCAGTAACTGGAACAATCCGCCAACTCTGTCTTGGGATTACACTGTAGATTATTAGTACTAGGAAACTGTTAGAAAATGACTTGATTTTCGACTATGATAAGTTTTCAAAAATGACAGGTTGAAATTACAACACAATTATCATATGTCTTTGCCAGAGTTCCTTGGCCGAGCAGTGTATAATGACTGGACAATTCATGGACAAGATGTACCGGTATCCGTCGTATGCTAAGCAGACAATAATTATAATAGCAGTTGGCCTTGCTTAAAAAATGACGTATCTCTAACTAGAACCCCCATTGTGTATCAAATTCTCTTATGTGTTCGTGATACGAAAAGTATATACAATCTAACATTATCTTTATTTCATTACAGAAGATGACGTGTGCGTTTGCTATAGGAGACAATAGGCACAATGAAAAATATGTAAAGTTCTGTAATATTGAAACGATTAGGCAAGCCTATAGCCTATGTGTACAATAACATAATAATAATAATAATAATAATATGATTAACAAATGAACAGACAGTTTTTAATCATAACAAAGGCCTAATCTTTATAATCAAATTGATGGTTGATTTAAAACACTGCAGTATGTTGTAAAATTGATGATATTCCGTAAGTGTGATGACGTATCGGGTGACGTAACCATGCGATTTAAGAGTCATATGCGATGGAAGAGAGCCATGAAGAGAGTTCAACAGAATCGTGGCTCTGGGAAAAAAACTTCATTAAAATTGTTTTGAATGTAGGCCTAAGACAATATTCCGGTGGGGTTTTGCGTCCGGAGATCTTTGTAAAGTGAGATAATGAAAGACTACTAGAAGCCAGTGATTCAACCAAATTATTTTGATAGTGGTAAGGGTCCTTTATAATCCTGAACTTTAAAAAAATATATAATATAAAGCACGATTTAAGTACGTCTAACAGCATTTTAATCATATTATGTTGTAGGCATATGGTCAATAAAGTAAGCATGCATGTATGTGAGAATGCTTATCATTTATCAACTTTCAACAGATTGAAACATCATTCGTTTGCTGATTACGATAATTAAGTTGGCTGCAGCTATTCAAATAGGGACGATATATTGTAACGTAATAGCTAGCATACATAACACAACATAACATAAACCAGGACATATAACATAACGTGATGGTGCTGTATTCGAAGTGCCTGAGAGTGAACCGACTGGTCTCTGTAAATTATGAGAGACGACACAGTGGAAGTCAGTCTTTTCTTGCTTACCAGAAAAAGTGCATTGAGTATCATCGTCTACTGGTTGAAGAACGCACCGCCTCCATTCAGGCCCAAGTAGATATCTGTGGTCACGGTCAAAAACGCCTGTTTAAGATTGCTAGAAAGCTTCTTTTTCCAACTGCTGAGAGCCACCTTCAGCTGGCCAATGATTTCAATGCATTCTTTATTCAGAAGGTTAAACGTCTGCGTCACAAAATCACACCAAGTGAGTCATCGCCAGCGTTGGGCTTCCTACTTCTTCTCCTGCTCTACAGCTTTCGAAATTTGAGAGTTTTAACTTATTGAACAATGAAGATGTTATTGACATTGTCAAGTAAAACCTGTGACTTAGACCCTTTTCCGACTAATATTTTAGTGTCTCTGCCCACTACTATGATTAGTCTCTTTCGGAAACTCATTAACTCCTCCCTGTCTTCTGGCTTATTTCCTGAGGCACTGAAACATCCACCTATTTTGAAGAAACCTCAGATTGACCATACTGAATTTTCTAATTTCCGACCTATAACCTGCATTCCATTTATTTCCAAAATATTCGAGAAGGTCGTTGTCTCCAAACTAGTCAAGCATCTTGATGACAATGGTCTTAACGACCAATTCCAGTCAGCATACAGAAAGTTTTTTAGTACAGAAACCGCCATAATGAAAGTCCATGATGACATTATGCAAGCTCTTGATACATGTGAATGTATTTTATCGGTATATTTAGACATGTCTGCTGCATTCGATACTATTGATCATAATATTCTCCTTAATCGCTTAATTGACATTGGTATCTCTGGTTCTGCATTCGGTTGGTTCCAGTCGTACTTGATATCACGAGGCCAATGTGTTAAAATTAAATCGTCTATTTCTGATCCTGTTTTCTTAGAATGTGGCGTCCCACAGGGATCAACTCTGGGTCCTGTCCTCTTCACCATTTACATCTGTCCCCTCAGCAATATCATTAGCAAGCATTTATGCCGTTACCATGTTTACGCTGATGATATGCAGTTGTACCTC